TATATGGATTAAGCTTTTTAAATAGTCTTTTAAGTGTCATTTTTACTCACTAATTTTGCCACCATCTTCACTGGACCACTCCCTCATCAAACCAATAGAATAGTAGAAAGTGATTATCCAAAAATATATTATTAGAGTAACTTAAGAAATAAAAACAATGGGACTATATATCCTATTACCGTAGATAAGTATTTCTATATTTTTTCTAGAAATTAATAATCTAAAGATTACTTGTAGTGGGATTTCTCGAATATCATTATAAACCATATTTATATCGATCATAAAATATATGATCTATAAAAATGATGTTATTCTTTTCAAATGATTTGATAAATATTAATTTCCTTGTCACAATACACGTACATAAGCTCTCTCTATCTTTCTTTTTGTTACGTTGCAAAATATTTGATTGTAAATGTTAATAAAATGTGGACTCACTATTCATTCTTTTCTTCCTTTTTCTTTGATAAGCATGCTAAGTAGACCATACATATACAGTGTTGCTTTTTTTTTTAGGGGGATGAGAATGGGACTCTTTAGAAAACAGCAATAAATTTGCGACCCTATTTAGTTTTTATGTATAAGTGTTTTTAAAAATGTGTGTGGGGATGAATAAGGCAATAGTGTCAGGGGTTTAGTCAAAAATATTAGCTGCAAAGTCCATAAGAGTTGGCCAAGCCTTGAAAAAAAAATCAATCAATCTCTTCGCACATTTACTTTATATTTCCAATTTTATCTCTCAACTCCTTCCATCATCAATATGAAAACCCACCATAATCATGAAATGTGATATAAATCTATTTATGCAATAGTTAATATATTGACAATAAGATAATTTCTAGCTAGTATACAAGTCATGTTTTCTTAACGTACTCTTAGCTTGAATTCCAATTTTTGCATCATACTTTCAATTCCATGTATTTTACATATTAATTTTTGTATTAGATTAGTTAATATGAGATAGTTATTGTAATCTGGTATTTTGGTGGAAAACATGTCGTAAAAGTAATGGCATACAAACTATTAATGTAATGAATGGAAATCAATTGGTATATGATGTAAAAATAATCAAATATAATTGACTGATATAAAAAAGAAGAACATATATATGTAGTTGGTGATGGTAAAGTTGCATTATAGGTTTAGAAAATAGGAGGCTACCAATAATTTATCCAGTGAGAATATTATGTAGAAATGATGAGAAAAAATTGTTCAATCTCTATCAAAGTAGAGCCCAAAATCCACAATATGACAAATTTTTGTGGCATAAAGAATTGAGAACGACCCATGTTATGGAGGGAATCCTTTTTCCTATCTATCCTTTATTATTTTCACAATAAAATTTTAAGTAGTTATAAATAATAAGTATATATTACTAACCATTAATTGGTTTTGGATGTTCATTTTATTTATTTTTATTTTATACTTAAGTAAAAGGAGAGAAAGTTCGACAAATAACAGAAATTTATATCCAATTTTTTAATCATGTGAAACCATTTACTTTTTAAAATGTAAAATATATGAATATTTCGAAAGGGGGAACGAATATTGTAAAGACTATAACTTTCTTGGCAGATAGAAAAGAAAGAAAAATGTAATCTTTAGTGTAATTTTTTGTAATGCTTTAACAAAAAAAATATTTGATAAAATGAGAAGAGAAAAGAGTGAACTTTTGCATTGGGTTCCATTTTTTATCATAGAGTCGGCCTTTTTGTGGCTGCTTGTGGGCCTTTCTCAGTTCACCGACCTTTTTTACTTCCATTGCATCTATATATGTATATGTAACGTTTTATTTAAATCAATATATTAAAAACTAGATTTCATACTTAAGCCATTGAGATACAACAGTGATCGATGATATGCCATTCACAACATCTCAAAAAAGTGTTTACGCTACTTTAACTATTCACAATATTGATGAAATGTTTATGAAAAGTGATTCGATATATGTATATGTATGTATATATAGCTAAAAGAAGTTAAAATGATATTAATTTACAAAAACTAGATCTTTCGTATTTTGTTATCATTCAAAAGAAAAAGAAATTCAGCTAAATTATTAGATATTCTATAATTTTATTGTTCATATATGTAAGATACCAATCATTTTAAGCAAAGATCACCAATATGTAAGTTCACTTATGTCATTCTTCAACAAAGATTATCTTCTTTTAACATATTTCAAAAAGTTGGTTGATAAATATGATGTCCAATAAAAAGAACACGAGCAGGGACTTTACGTTTTCAATATCGTTACAGTGGAACGAGTCCAACGTTTTGGCGGAAGGGTCTTTGGATTGTGATCAAGAAAGAGACATTAATCGTTGGTTCAATTAATAGCTGAAGTGAAATTGATGGATATGCATGCCGAATAAATGGTACTGTATCAATCAATACTATATACTAAATATATATTTTAAATATGATAATACTAAATAAATACATTCATACACAAAAGATTGAGAAAGAAAAATACAAATAACGTATTTGTACGCGTGCTTAATACATGTAGGACGACAAGTTATTCCGATGTCTCACGTGGCATGCTTACTTCATCATTCCACCTTAATTATAATATTAGTTCCTTTTCTTGACCTCTACAAATTATGTATCGACCCTTTTCAAGTAGCATACAAAATAGAGTGGAATATCGAATTAAACCTTAAACTAGTTGAATAAAAAAAAACAAACTTGGAACTAAATTGATGTTTAGTAATATCTTTCAAAACCTTTTTTTACTAAATAGATTTTAAATAATGTAGCCATATGTAGGAAAATATTATTTTATCTCTATTATATTTTAAATAATTATTTCAGTATATATGTTTCTACAACAATAAATATAGTTTTATATTTTGTTTTATTTCTACAACAATTATTAGAATCTTAGAGAAGATAACTTTTCATACTGAAATTTTACTGATAAAAAAAGAGGAGGAATAATTTGTCCAAAAAATAAATAAAAAGGAGAAATAACTAATGAAAAATAGACACTTAAGAAGAAGTAAAAAATTATTAATTTATACTGTGATTTGTCAGAGTTCTTCGCTGTCTAAAATCCGTTAATGACTGAACTTCAAACACCACGCGCTCACTTTCACGTGCACTGCAAACCTTCCGGTCAAACTTTGAACTAATCCCAAACTAATTTTTTAGTTTTAACCAAACTACAATAATATAATGATTAATTATCTTATCTCATGGGATTTACCCATACTAACATAAGTCCAACTAAAAAAATATATATTCATTCTCTAGATTTGTTTTGTGCAATAAAGGTTTGAGTTACATATGTAATTGCCAAAAAAAAGTTATAGTTCCGTTAAGTTCACATTGCATGAATTTATAACTTTCAAAACTATATAGTTATAATTTTTAAAGAATATATGAAAAGAAAGTAAGGCACAAAAGAATTGAAACAGAAAGGAATGGTCGATGGTTGAGTCACGTAAATTGTCGTATACTCTTTTAACAAAACAACAACAACAACATTGTCAAATCTCCTTGCAATAATTGTTCAAATCAAAATTTATTTATTTATTTCAGACTATAAAGTTTAAACTAGATAACCGATCAAACCCAAATTTTAATTTAGTATGAAGTGACATGAATAGTTCATAGTTGTATATTAAAAAGATCGAGACAAAACCAAACAAAATGGCTAAAGATAAATAGTAAGTTTAAAACTCGAATGTTAAGAGAAATCAAATTATTGTAAAGTAGTTTATATATAAGTTTTATGAAATACATACTAGGCTTAAATTGTTTATTATTTTTGACTTTATATGATTAATTTGCATTTTTATAGATGAAAAGTAATAAAGTTGAAAAATGGGAGACTTTGAGAATTTTTTTGCATAAAATCCTTTATAAATTTTAGTAACTAAAATCCTTGTTATAACAAAAAAAGACAAGACAAATTAACCAAACATAAAAGGGAAGTGAAAAATTCTATTTGGTACATTCATCTTCGTGTTATAGATCAAACCATATAATTCCCAATTTCAATTGATTTTTTTTCTTTTGAAATCTTATCATTGTAATAAAAAACATTAGATTCAATTGGAGAATCATAAAAAGTAATCATATTCCCCACAAAACTCTAGACACTATACCGTAATATAATAAAATCACCACGTTCGTTTGTGTGTAACTTAAGCCAAGTTTTTGAAAATTTTATACTTTTTATATATATTCTCCTACACATTCGTAATAGATCTCGAATTTTCACATTTAAACCCAAAAAATACATTCGTAATAGATGTAATAATAGTATAGTAATTTAAAAATTGAAATAAAATAGAAAAAAACAACATAAAAATAAAAATAGAGAAAGGCATTATTAAAGAAGAGGACACATGGATTTCAGCGTTATTTTTCAAACTTCACTTCATACCCGCGCACTAACCCATCCATACGTTGGTGTTGTTGGCCTCTCTCTCTTTTTTTTTCCTAGAGAGAGAAAATAAATAGAGAGTTCAAAAAAGGTATCATGTGGAGGAGAGAGAGAGAGTAATGACTAATGAGAACAAATTTTCTTATAGTTCCAAATGGTAACGAGAAGTTTCTTTAAACGAAACCAATGTTCATGAATCGTTTACTCAAAGACAATTTCAAAAAAAAATCCCTAAATTCACAATTTGGGTAAAAAATCTCAACTTTTGTTTTTCTTTCTTTCTATAAGAAATCTCTTTCCCTTTTACCGTTTTTTTAGTCGCAATTCAATCTCTCCGTGAGGGTTTATAAAAGCAGAGAAATTTCCAGAGTAGTGATGAAAAATGAGATCCTTTTTATAAATTAAATTTAGGGTTTTTGATTTCTTTTAGTTTTCTGGAAAAAGTTTATTTTTTTTTTCTCGGATAAGAAAAAAAAAAGTTGGAGGGGTCTCTCTTCTTTGTGGGATAGGGGGATAGATAGAGATAGTTTTGGGTTTTATAATAAAGGAGAAGGAGCGTCGTCGAAGCAAATTAACAATTAGACTAAGAAATTTTTACAGACGAGAGCGTCAGAGAGAGAAATACCAAACTTCTTTAATGGAAGAGACAACGAAGCAGAACAAGAAGAAGAAGAAGATTCTTGTTAATTCCGATGATTCCAAGAAGAAGGAGCGTCATATTGTTACTTGGTCTCCAGAGGTCTCTCTTCTCTCTTTCTATATAATCCAAATCATATTTGATCAATCTCTGTTTTTTTATTGTTTATTGATGAATCTCTGTTTTTGAGATTTTCAGGAAGATGATATACTAAGGAAGCAAATCAGTGAACTTGGAACTGAAAAGTTAGTTTTTTTTTTCAATTTTAATTTCTGGGTTAAGTTTCTGTTCTATTGGGGTGATTGGTTCTGATGAAAAGTTTTGATTTTGTTGTTGTTGTGATTGATTTTAGTTGGGCGATCATTGCATCCAAGTTTAATGATAAGAGCACAAGGCAGTGTAGAAGAAGGTTTGGTTTCATCTATTGGAAATCAAAATGATTGTTGAGTTTTTGTGTGTTTGATCTGATTATGTGGGTTTTTGATTAATTGCAGATGGTATACATACTTGAACTCTGATTTCAAGAGAGGAGGTTGGTCCCCTGAAGAAGATACACTGTTGTGTGAGGTTAGACATCTTTTTTTCTTCAATCATATAGAGATAAAGAGATTATAGAGTTTGTGTCTGAATCTTCTATGTGTTTGGTTTTGAAGGCACAGAGATTGTTTGGGAATAGGTGGACTGAGATAGCAAAGGTGGTTTCAGGAAGGTATATTAAACGAAGAGATTCAAGCTTTAATGGTGAATGAAGTTATTATGAATATGAAATTAGAGAATTCATTCTTTGTTCTTTGTTGTTTGTGTAGAACGGATAATGCTGTGAAGAACAGGTTTACTACACTGTGCAAGAAGAGGGCTAAGCATGAAGCCATGGCGAAAGAGAACAGGATTGCTTGTTGTGTGAACTCAAACAACAAGAGATTGTTGTTCCCAGATGGTATTAGTACACCTCGAAAAGCCGAAAGTGAATCTCCTCTTACTAAGAAAATGAGGTGAGAACCTTGCCTTGGTTTCTCTTTTTGGGGGTCATTGATTGATCCAAAGAAGAAAGCTTTTTGAACTGTTATATTGACTTATAGTGGTAATGTTCATTATCCAGGAGAAGTCATATTCCAGATCTTACAGAGATCAAGAGCTATGGAGATAGATCACATTTAAAGGTTGAATCGGCTATGACTCAACAGAGTAGACCTCCATTTTCGGTAGTAGCCCACAATGCCACAGGTATTGATGGCACGAAAGAGCAAAAACAAACAGGCAATGCAAAAGAGAGTGACGGTGCGCAAAACCTTCTTCTTGTTGTTGCTATCCTGAGAGCATTTGTAAAGATGCAAACTTAGAGAGTCTTATTCTGCTAAGTTTTGTTTTTGGTAAATAGGTGAGGATAAAGGTAACCAAGAGGCATTTCTTAAGAAGGATGATCCAAAGGTGACAGCTTTGATGCAACAAGCTGAGCTTCTCAGTTCATTGGCCCAGAAAGTTAATGCAGACAACACAGATCAAAGCATGGAGAATGCCTGGAAGGTAAACAATGCGCAGCCCTGCTGTGATTCTCGACTCATTTTGTTATTTAACTTCTGAAACTGACCATTGTGTTGCACGATCCTTTTCTAATAACAAGCTATTGTTGTTGTTGTTCCTAATATGTCCAGGTTCTACAGGATTTCTTGAATAAGAGCAAAGAAAATGATCTATTCAGATATGGAATCCCAGATATTGATTTCCAACTCGATGAATTTAAAGATCTCGATGAGGACTTGAGGATTAGTAATGAAGATAGTCAATCATCTTGGAGGTTCTGAAATGAATTTTTCATATATGAATGATTATGGTTTTTTTTTTTCCGTGGTTTTTGATCGTCTAAACAGCCATTGCTGTCACTTATAGGCAACCTGATCTCCATGATTCACCAGCAAGCTCTGAATATAGCTCAGGATCAGGATCAACCATAATGCCGCATCCTTCTGGTGATAAAACCCAACAACCCATGTCTGATACTCAGACAACATTGCAGAAACAAAATGATGGGAATTTACTACTAGATAAAGGAATTGTGTCTGATACAACTGTGGAACAAGTGGATTTACTCACACCATGTCAGGATGTCCTAAAGAACCCTAATGAGATTGTTCCCATGCCGGGTGACGAAGAGTTTAACTCACCCGTTCAAGTCACTCCATTGTTCAGATCTCTAGCAGCAGGCATCCCAAGCCCACAATTCTCTGAAAGTGTAAGCTTTCACTTAACTAGTTGAACTGAGGAAAGTTTTCTGGTTTAGTTTTATAGTAAAGGAAACCTGATTGATCTGTTTCTACAGGAGAGGAACTTTCTGCTAAAAACACTCGGTGTCGAGTCCCCATCTCCATATCCAAGTGCTAATCCTTCACAACCACCTCCTTGCAAAAGAGTCCTTCTCGATAGCTTGTAAACCAAACCAAACCAAACTCTCTAAACCAAAAAAACTGTCCCTAAACCGCGGTTATGTCCTCATGGAGGTCGACATAACCTGCATTTCTTCCCTCTTTTTGCTTAGATTTTCTCCATAGGTTTGCAGCCATATCGGCCTGAAAAGTTTTAGTGAAGCGGGCGTGCCATGATCTGCATTTTTTCCTTCCTCAGTGTTCATAATCTAGAATCTAGAATGTTAAAGGTAACATTTCTAAAGTCTAGACCAATCTCAGAAACTGAGTTTCTCTCTCAGATACTCAGGATTCCAAAATCTTTGCTCACTCATTAGGAGAGTTTTCTTTTCATCATCATACTCAAAAGCCATTCCATAAAAAGGGCTAAAAAAGTATGAGTTTTTTCTTCCATTCATGATTTGTGTGTCTAAGAAAAATTCTTTCGTTTGTCTCCCTCTTCAAGGGTCAGACCCAGATACATAATCTTGGGTTGTCTCCCCCATGAATTCTTGATTTGTTGTTTTCTTGATTCTCTGTACAGAACCTATATTATTACATAAAAAAAATAGAGTTTTTGTTTCAGAGTGTAAAACTAAAGGAAAAAGAAGAAAGAATACAACTTCAGAGAGAGAGGCATGTCGCCTTTCTATATACAGTAATGAAAATACACAGAAGAAAAGATAAACAAAGAGTTTCATATGGTTTTGGAGCAAAACAGTGTAGTGTTGTTGTAGTGTAACTTCTCATAGGTTTGAGAAGAAAAAAACAAACAAAGAAAAAAAAAGAATTTTTTGTTTGTTTGTCATAAATCGTTTCCCTTTGTTCCTTTCTGAGAAGAATCATGTGATTTGTAAAGAGATTCTATGAGTGGAAATGAATTGATTTTGGTGTGAATTATATAAGTGTTTCATTATTCATAAACGTACCTATAATTTTTCCAGATCATCTTCTCCTTCCTCTGTGATTACAGTTGCAGAATGAAGAAGAGGTTATCTTAATTGGATCTGGATCTGCTTCTCTTATAAAATGGGAGCTGTTTTTAAGTTGTTAGTTAGTGGAAGACAAAACGTAATCATCACTTTCTTTCTAACTTTTGTTTTTAATTTGAAAATTTTAACCTCCATTTCCTTAGTAGTTTTGTACTCTTCTAATCCGGTTTTCAGATAAAAATCAATGTCTTCAAAATTGAACCATACCGGTGTCGATCCGACCAAGAATCGTTTCTTTAGTCTGGTTTACATCTAAACCCAAATTCTCTCTAAACCACGAAAACAGTGATTTGGCTTGAATATCAAATCATATATTTTACTGATTAGTAATTTTACTTTTACAGTTAACTAATCTGGTTTGAGATTCTCTATTGTATATTGGCTAGTGACATAAACAAACTAACAATAACTGAACAGTAATTTAGTGATATGAGGGAAAAACTTCAACTCTTTTGCTTCTTCTTCTCCACTCTCTGCATTTTCCTCCATTTAAGATAAATCTGATATGACAAACCACCAAAGACCATTGAAACACATCCCCATTGCTTCAACGACAATGGATTTCCGCTCATTACTGATGATACAACTATGCTAACAAACTTCCTGGTCGTGGTTATTGTCGTGTTAGCTAGTGACCCGAAGTTACTTATTGTCATAAAGATGAAGTTTTGTCCCACGGCACCGCATAGACAATACTTTAGAATGTCCCATGCCGCTTCCGGGTGTAGCTTACAGAACTGAATTGCTTCGAAACCAATCCCTTGTGGCAATCCAAACATATATATCATGTTGTATATTGTGCCCCATAAGTTCATTCCGAACATTATGTCCCACGCTTCAGTTTTTGGGTATCTGTCAAAGTTCATTGTATAGTGATATGTTTATAGACTTATATATAGTAGGAAGATGTAAGTTTTATGTTATGATTCCATGTCAGATCATATATACCTTGAGGCAATAGAGTCTTGGGTAGCGTTTGTGAATCCGTCAAAGGCAAGGTTTAAGAAGCAAAGTGCGTAGCCTAAGGGTGCATTGGGATGCGCTAGCTTGCTAATTGTCTTTGAACTTGTCTGAAAATAACAATTCAAAAGCTTAGTAGTTAATCATATGCCATGATCAATATTTTTGAAAAACATTATGAGCAGATTTGGATACCTTAAGAAGAGCAAAGAAAGATACTCCTCCCGCGACAAGAAAGGAGCACATATATTCAGGGAAGGTGTATCTTATTCCATAAACCAAAGTTCCCATCAGCATAACTGCATCACGAATAGAGAAGCATGAATAAGATAAACCGAGAGATCTTAAGAAGAAATGTGTAAGAGAGAGAGTTTCATGATCATCTTTTTGAGAAATTTACGGCTTGAAGATTTCAATCTAAATAGATACCACACCTGGAATCATTTTTGACGACTTTGCCAGGACCTGCAGTAAGCAAGATCAGAATGCAACCCGTTATTTACCTAAGAAGTACTTATAAACCATAAGTTGAGCATTAAATGATCAGGTTAGAAAGTTACCTGAGCTGGATAACTGATATACTTCAAGGCTTCAATTCCCATGGCAGGACCAATCGTATTAGTAATGCCGGCACTCCAATACGCCCACCATGGTGCTCCACCATTACCAGCGTTTGACCAGAGCTTGATCACTGGACATAATCAAATGGTAGACAAAGACGAAATTTCAGCCACAATTTTCTGTATTCGATGACAATGCAATGGAGATGGAATTGGAAAAGTGCTCACTTATATAAGACCAGACCAAGCAGACTACACTTTGAGCCAAATTCAAGAATGCAAGATGCTCGAACCTCTTCTCATCTGGACCAAATCTCTTCGTGGACCTAATCAAATAACGATTTTCATTAGTCCTTGTAGCTATGTCTCTAAAAATTCCATGGACTTTTTTCGACAAGACTGAAAATGCTAAGGTTAGTAACCACAGAAATTCGTATACAGAAGGTTCAAGAACAAGTTCCGGCAGCTATGTCTATAGAAATTCAAACCACAGATTCAGTATATAGAAGTGTATTTGCAAACGAATCATGACTATTTAGCAACAATTTAGCAACAACGAGCTGAATCGAGCAATGAAGACGACGAGAATCGATCTGACCTAACAATTTCACTTACAGAGTCTCTTGAAGAACGCCTTGGTATATGTAGGCGGACCAGATCCCGGAGATACACAACGCCAGCAACAGAATTCGACGGAATCCGGAGCCATGAACCTCCATCTCCGCTCCGGAAACGCCCCGACACCGGCGATGATTCCTCCGGCGCCGCTTCGATTCGAATTTCTCTGATCGAATCCGAGAATCGTAAACTAAAATGTTTGATTTTGGATTTTGGAAGAGGAAGTTGTTACAAAGGCGCGAAAATAGACGTCGATGTTCCACGTGGAAGCTAATCACTGGACTGATGATCTCACTTAACGTTTCTTATTGGTTAACGAAGCACCCACGTGCAGCTCGTGAAATGGGTTCCGTGTCTGAGATAGAAAAAGGAACTACACGCCGTTTTACTGTTGTAAAAACCACACGCTAGTCGGTGGGTGCTTTGAAGTGAAGTTGACCAAAAGTAGCGTCACATCATTAGGGTCGTTAATCTTTGATTTAGATGGAGTTTTAATCTCTATTTAAGTGTATTGATTGAATCATTCAAGGGGACAAACTGAATAAGAAACTCGTATGTTCAATTTATGAATTTTGATAAAATACTAAATCACGTTTATAAATCTAAGATGATAAGATACACGCTTTTGTGTAAAGCAAAGATGATAATATTGTTGACAAAAGAAGGATTAAAAGAAGATTGAAAATATAAATATGATAGCAAATAAAATAATGTGCACTCAAACATAATCTATAAATTACGTATAGTACTTTTAAAGTCCATGAATATCATAATGGATCGATGGCTTAACGGATAGATAATATGGTTGACAAAAAATATACTCCCTCCGTTTCAGTTTAGTTGTCGTTTTAGGATTAAAATTTTGTTTCATAATAGTTGTCGTTTTAGGTTTTCAATGCAAATGTTTGGTGAAAATTTATGTTTTGTCATTAATGTTTTAATGTTTTGACCAATGAAAAAATTATAAAATATATTAATAAAGGGTAAAACAAAAAATTTAATGATTTTCTTAATTTGTGTGCGAAAACCTTAAACGACAACTAAAACGAAACGGAGGGAGTACATAATAAGAGTTTGAAATAGTCAAAAGATTACTATTGAATGCTTCTTTTTGTCGTTTTTATACTATTCACATGCTTCGCGTTAAAACCTGAAGATATTTATATATCAAGTTGCAATATACGGACGTTATATATTGTAATGCTATTCAATTGCCGACAAAAGAATTGTTATACAATTATAGTAATTAGAGCGGCACAACCGTAACAACCGTAAATGTTATCACTGAAAAGTAAACTTAAATTGTGATGACCATGATATGTAGTTTAATTATTTATGTTAATACTATCAGCATATCATCATCATACAAACTACAAGTTTTACAACAAAACAAAATCATCATCCCAACTCAGATTTGTTATTTTTCAAACTTAAATCCGTATATTACATGTTTAAAATTGTGAATGACAATATACAAAATTATTAGTTCTTTTTTCTTTCGGCAATTTTTAGTGGAAGCAGGATTTGTGTTTATAATTTTTTCACAATTCCATAAACTGAATGACGAATATATAACACATTTTATTCATTTGATATATATATATATATATATATATATATATATATATATATTTGATATTCATTTGATATATATATATATATATATATATATATTTTTTGGTGGGGTGATATTTTTTTGTTGTTGTTCGGTCAAATATGCATTTGATAATTTGTTTAGTGATTCTTTTATTAAATTCCAAATCCATTTTTTTCTATGTTTTACTGTCTTTTGTTACTTACAATTGTAGGATGCTTTATAAAAAAATATCATATGCGAATATTGTCCCCACGTGTCAATGTACAAAAAGCTCTTGGATTTGTCGGTCAAACATAATGTGAATGATAGGGGAATACTTTTTGGGGTCAATGCATGAAATAAAGTTTTTTTTGTTAATAGGAATAAAGTTTTGATACACTTGAAATTAAAATATTACAAAAGCGTGTTAACTACTCTCTCTTTCTATAATTAAACAGTACTAAACCACCTGTACTCAAATTGGAATTTATTAACAAATCTTTACATTATCTAAAAATGACAAAAATTAATGGAATCTTTTACCAAAATCATCTTTTATAAGTTTTTGCTTTTGCTTAAAGATGAATGTAAAAAAGCTTTGAAGAAATCTGACGTGGATTTGCTGACGCAAGCAAAGACGTTGCCAGATGGTCCAGATCTACTAACACAGGTTCTTACCAAACTATCCCTTCTTTGATGCCGGCATTAAACATAAAGATTCGCCGAAAGCGAGGGTAATATCGTCATTTAAGAGAAAAAGCCACGGACCACGGCGAACAAAAGCAAAAAAAAGGATAGAATCGTAATTTGATCCAAAACCCCACCACCACCACGACTTATGTATGTATGGTTGTGCTGTGATTCTCTGTGTTCTGTCACGTTCCTTCTTCCTTGGGTTCCTTCTTCTTCTTCTTCTTCTCTAATTCTGATTTCAAAAATCTTTTTTTTTTTGGTTGGAGAATTAATTATTATTACTACTATCAGCTTTTACGCCGCAGAGTAAACAAAGAAAAAAAGCTCGTTGGCTTTGTTCTTTAGAATCTGTTGATTGTTTATCGAGGAAAAAAAAACAGTGAGGCTTTAGTTTTGAGAAATGGGTAATTGCTTAGATTCATCAGCTAAAGTGGATAGTAGCAGCCATAGTCCTCATGCTAATTCTGGTAAAGTTTCCTTTTTTCTTCTCCATAGCTCTAAAGTTTCTTCTTTTATCCAATTTCATTGCTTCTTAAGTTTCTGTTATGAATCCAAGCTCTTGTTCTTTGTCTGACATCTTCAAAATCAAACCTTTCGAAATACCCATTTCTGCTTATGTCTGATTTCTTTGAGTACTTTTGGGGTTAGATGTTGGAAAAATTTGGTGTTTGAATCTATGTTACTCCATTATCTCACTATTTGACTGTTTATAGGATTGTTAAAGCCTCAATAATTATCTTAAATTTGATTTTAGATGGTTAAATTTGGTTAATGTTGATTGTTGAGATTGAAATTCGAAATCTTCCTTTAAGTCTAATTAGAAATCAATTTCATTGAATTGTTAAGTATGATCTCACAATTTGGCTGTTTGTAGGATTGATTTAAGATGGTTGGATTGCTTAATGTTCAGATTGAATTATAAACCAAGTAATGATCTTTCGTTTAAGTCTGACTTATATGTTTTTATTTGGATCACTTTTAGCTTCATTGAGCTCAAGAGTTTCAAGCAAGACAAGTCGTTCCACAGTTCCTTCAAGTTTAAGCATAAATTCTTACAGCAGTGTTGAGTCTTTACCTACACCGAGAACAGAAGGAGAGATATTGTCATCACCAAATCTTAAAGCTTTCACCTTTAACGAGCTCAAGAACGCTACTAGGAACTTTCGACCCGATAGTCTTTTAGGCGAAGGAGGTTTTGGTTATGTGTTTAAAGGATGGATTGATGGAACTACTTTAACTGCTTCTAAACCGGGTTCTGGAATTGTTGTTGCTGTTAAGAAGCTTAAAACTGAAGGTTTTCAAGGTCATAAGGAGTGGTTGGTACGTCGTTTTTTCCTTCCTTCTCTTATTGATTTTGATCATGAATTGTGTTAACATTATTTGCTGACGTACCTTTTTGGATTTTTTTGGTTTCAGACTGAAGTGAACTATCTTGGTCAGCTTAGTCATCCAAATCTTGTCAAACTAGTTGGGTATTGTGTAGAGGGCGAAAACCGGTTACTGGTATACGAGTTCATGCCAAAAGGAAGCTTGGAGAATCATCTTTTTAGACGTATGTAAAACCTGCGATAATCAAGCAAATCCTATTCAATATTGACACATCTTAGGTCCTTTGTACTGTGTTTTGTAGTCCCCGTCAAATGATCCTTTTTTTAAATCTTGCAGGTGGTGCACAGCCACTTACGTGGGCTATAAGGATGAAAGTTGCAATAGGAGCAGCCAAGGGACTTACTTTTCTCCATGATGCAAAATCGCAAGTGATATACAGAGACTTTAAAGCTGCTAACATCCTACTCGACGCGGTAAGAAACCTGAGAAACCTGATAAGTAGCCTCTCTTCAACCCCTTATTCGTGATTTCAGTATATTTTCTAGCTAACTTCTATATCGATCTTAACCGCAGGAATTCAACAGTAAACTTTCAGACTTCGGTCTAGCTAAAGCAGGTCCTACCGGTGACAAGACGCATGTGTCCACACAAGTCATGGGTACTCACGGATATGCTGCCCCAGAATATGTAGCAACAGGTGAGAAACTTTGGATTTAGCTTTAAACCCTATTGGCTACAAAAACATTTGTCTCTCTTTGCTTCAAAAGCGTTGGCCTTTACTTCAAAAGCTTTGCCTTTACTTCAAAAACATTATCCTTTGGCTACAAAAGCTTTATCCCATTGCTTTAAAAGCCCTAGCCATTTACCACAATAGGCTTAGCTTCGCTTCAAAAGGATTTAAGCACTTAGTTTCGAAAGTTTTTTAGCACTTTGCGTCAAAAGCTTTCGCCTTTGCAGCTTATACACTTCACTTCTTAGAACTTTTAAGCTCAAATCTGATTTTTATCTACAGGTCGATTAACAGCTAAGAGCGATGTATACAGTTTCGGTGTGGTACTGCTGGAATTACTCTCTGGACGTAGAGCGGTGGACAAATCAAAAGTGGGAATGGAACAGAGTCTTGTGGACTGGGCAACACCGTATCTCGGTGACAAGCGAAAGCTCTTTAGAATAATGGACACGAGATTAGGCGGTCAGTATCCTCAAAAAGGAGCATACACAGCAGCTAGTCTTGCATTGCAATGCTTAAACCCCGACGCAAAACTCAGACCAAAAATGTCAGAAGTTTTGGCCAAATTAGATCAGCTTGAATCAACGAAACCTGGAACTGGAATTGGAAACAGACAAGCTCAGATTGATTCTCCAAGAGGTAGTAATGGATCTGTTGTACAGAAATCTCCGAGGAGGTATAGTTATGATCGGCCTCTCTTACACATAACTCCTGGTGCTTCTCCTTTGCCTTCTCACAATCACTCTCCTCGTGTAAGATAGGAATCACTGTAATAGTTTTCTTTTGTTTTTGTCTGTTGTATGCTGCTCTGTGTGTAAAATGTGTTGTGTAACGGACCAAAGTTTCATTCTTGGCTCAGTTTATAAAATTTGGTTTCAATATGGTTTGTTGGTACTTAAAGATGTGTACGGATCCCATTGTAGACAAAATTTAGCATGTTGTCACAAGTTTTGGCCAAAATCAGATGAATTACCAAACATTAAATTTAGAATTGTAACTGGAACCAGACAAGCTCATGATCGACCCTCTCTTACAAAACTCCTGCTACTTCGTCTCTGCCTTCTCTCACAATAATCACTCTGCGTGTATATGTGTCATAAAATTTGGATTGTTCGGTGCTAAAATTGAAATGCAAAATCCAACAACAAACTGCAAATGATAAAAGAAACTTTTAAGAACTATTTACTCAAACCTATTTTGTTTGTGAAGACAAAGCATCCAAGAGTAAACTGAAGACAACATGTCAAAATACTCATCACACCAAACCAAAACCAAATCAAAAACAAACCAAACCAAAACACACAGAAAATCAGAATAAAGAAACAGTTAAAGTGATTCAAAAGGTTTCAGAGCTTTGTTCAACAGTGTAAGATGATGAGGATGCCTCTATGGATTGCTTTCTCTTTTGTCTCGAAAAGGTTTCAGAGCTTTCACCGTTTCCACTCAGCTTTCGTCGACTTGTCTGAAATAAACATGAACAAAATGTGTTAGAAGTATGTAGATAGTGTAAAGGTTATTGAAGAGGCTTGTGTATAATTAATTATAGGTTTGAACTTCTTACCACCAATGTCCTTGGAAGACGAAAAAGATCTGTCACTGTTCATTGATCCTTTAGCTGAAGCTATGAGAAGTCTGTGAGCTCTTGGAGACATTGTACTCAGCTTACCATTGGCTGCGGGAGGAAGAGAGTGGCGCCGTGTTGTCCCGTTTTTCTCAGGCTTCTCTTGAGCAATTCTCGGAGACCCTTGTCCTCTTATTCTTGCCTTTGCAGATGCAGTTGGAGCCATATAGCTTGGGATTTTTCTCCCACTCTGTGTAAGCCCATCGTCTTGATGATGATTCTCAATATTTGCAGGTAATGAAGCTCGCCTATCGCTTGGCTTTGTGTTCTCAGAAGCAACATTTCCATTCTCAGAGCTTATCTGCACGTCTGGCTCTTGGATTTCCTCTTCAGCTTTATCATCTATCTCGGCAGTCTTGAGTTCCTCTTCAGCATTATTATCTCTCTCGGCAGTCTTGAGTTCCTCTTGCTCCGGGTTATCCAGGACCAGTGATTTCTCATCTTTATCAAGATCAGACTCTTTCAAAATTGTTTCAGGGATAAGATTCATCTTTTCATCTTCAGGAGCATCAGCTACAGAAGCTGAAACCTCTTCAATAGGCAATTCTTTCTGCACTGCATCTGCAATCTCTTTCTTCTTCTCAGTGGATTTACGGGTAGCTTTCCCTATCCCATTAGAAAGTGGAGCCTTTTTAAGACTAATTCTAGGCTTCTCATCTTTGACCTCCACTGAAGACCCTTCCTTTATGGCGCTAGTACTTTTTCTTGAACTCTGCTTAGACTTGTCGTTCTCGATTCTTGAAAGTTCTTTACCAAGTGTGGAGGCCTTCCTCACAGTTCGCTTAGGCTTTTCGTTGTCAGCTGTTGAACGGCTACTAGAGCTGTTTCCCGTATTTGAACCACCGGATGATTTCTTGACACCTCTCTTAAGTTTTCCCTTTTCTGTTTCAACTGCTTGAAAACTTCGCTTCTTAGTCTGAGACTTTGGTACCAGATTCTTAACCACCAGTGGACCAGGAGCCCAAACCTGCAATTGCGTCCAGCGTCCAAGCCACACTTTGGCTGAGTTAGGATCTTCAGGACTATACTGAATCTTCAGAGGCAATGTTGTTGGTGACGAAACCAAAAGCTGAAGAAGTCACGGAAACATATAATTAAGAGCCTGACACAGAATCACATAGCAAAATGTTGATGTTACCTTATCAATCATGGAGAGCTTTGTAGGATTCTCCATCCAACTGTATGTGCTTCCTTGCAAAGTTTCAGAAGTCTCAGTTTCCTAATAGATGAAAGAATTACAGTTTCAATAGCAAAATTGAGTAATGGTTATCAAAGTGGAACTTCAAAACTAACAGACAGTAAATACCGTAATTGTTTTCTGAAGTTGAGCCACGGTTTCTGAAGATCTAGCTTTCTTCCCGCGAACAAGTGCTTGTACTTTCACAATTCCCCAAATGCACGAGTAGGTAGCAACAGCTTGTCTTCTAACCAAGTGACCACGGATAACTGCTTGCACCCTTATGATACCTTTGAGGTTCTGAAATTCTTCACGGGCCTTCACAAGTTAAGAAAACAACAAAAGTATCAGCAAAACAATACCCAAAAAATCATTACTAGAATGCAGAAGAAATATTCATTCACCTGCTGAGCTCGGAAAGCAGCTTGAACCTTTGTAGCAGCTTCCTCAAGCTTTACTTCTTCAGAGTCATTCCCTGACTCAAGATTCACATTCGATGACTCATCGCCTTCAATGTCTCCGCTTAGCTGCTTCTCGGCAATTACAACATCAGGAACTACTACAGTTTGAGTAGCTGCAACTTCTTGAGATGAAATTACAGGTGGTTCGGTAGGTAACTTTGAGACATTAGTATCCTTCACCTTCACCACAAGCTCTTCTTTCTTTGCAGATCTCTTCCAAAATATGAACAATGTTTACAATTACTAATCATTTAATTCTCCCACAGATAAAAAAAACAGAACTTTCACTATATATTCTTACCAATTTTTCACCTCCTTTCTCCAAACTCGATTTCGATGACTTCTTCCCAAGAAGAGACTTGATCCATTTACCAGGACTTGGAGTCTTTCCCATCTTTTCTAATGGCTACAATTAGAAACTTGCTACAAAAATAGAAACCTGCATATACAGAAAAAAAAAAAAACACATTTTTATAAGCACACGCCAGGTCAAAATAAACAAAGTCTATGAATTTACAGTAGCAAAAGCCATGGAACCATCAATTTTACTTGAAGCTGAAACATATGACAAACATAGAATCAAAAATCTCGAAACAGAAACCCTAGAAACACACACAATACATAAATCAGAGCGAAAGAGAGAGAGATATTAACCCTAAAAGTTCGAAACAAGACGAACAGACATCAACTATACAGTGTTAAAGCATAAATCAAAAAGAGAGAGAGACGAAAATCAAAAAGTAACGAAAGCCAAAGGAACACATAGATAGACCCATTAACTAAAGTGAACAAAAGCAGAGATTTTGACGATTACAAACCAAAACCCATGTAGATTTAGCGGGAAAACACAAAAAAAAAACCTAAATTTCATATGAAGAAATACCAGAAAAACTCAAAAACCGTTTTTTTTGGAATAAATTAGACTTACAAAATCGAAAAGAGAGATACTTTTTAAGCAAAATCAAAGAGTGAAAGAAGATGGAGTAACAGTGAGAACTCAGATCTGAGTAGAAGAAATCAGAAGCGGAAACTTTTTTGAGAGGGTTTTTCCTAAAATGTGTATAAACCAGAATTAAAAATGTCAAATCTGAAATTAACAATGTACCGAATCGTTACGGTTATGTTCTTCAAAATGTTGTCTTGTTAGAACAAGAAGGCTCTTTCGTCGGAGCAGTGACCTAAAAAACCAAAAAGTGGTTACAGTGAGAAATTACACTCACCGTTTGTAATGTGAGAGAGAGAAACAAAAGCAGAGAGAGCGGAACAATAAAGGTTTGAAACGACTGTGTTTTGTCTCATTTTTATTAATGGGCCTATTGATGGTATGAGCCCAATGGCGGAGTTGTAGATTGTATTGGAATTTACTGAAGTCGAAATATCTTTCTTTTTTAGTTGGATTAATGATTTTATTAATTGAGAATTAATGCTGTCGTTATCGAAGTGGTTAATCCGCTAATTCCCGATTTTGAAAGGCATTAAATGTTTGTTAATTACGTGTGTTTATCTTTCTTAGATATTTTAATTTTTAAATTTTTTTATTGACCGAAAAAAGTCCATTTCAATGTTGGATTCTGGCAACCAGAACACTGGAATTAGATAGTTATAGTGTTTGTAACATGGTTTATGTTAGTTCGGAGATATCCGTATGTGATGACAATATTTTGTGTAGCTAACAATTTTTTTTTAAAATCTGCATGTATAACTATGTGATAGTGTATCTTTTGTGTAGGTGGTGAAACATTTTTCCAAATCAATTTGTAAAAATAGCCAAAAAAATAAATCATTCAGAAGTTAAAACATCTTTAAATATATGGACTTAAAAGTTGGTGTATTTTGGGCCTGAAAATTACACATATGAAAAGCGTAGATGCCCAAAATTACGTGTTTTGTCAAGTAGTATTTAATTTTATTTTAGTAAAAATCAAAATACAGTAGTAAATTAAAGACTTTGGAATTTAGAAAAGAAAAATCGGGAAAAAAAATTAAATACATTTTTTCGATGAAAATAAATAAATGGCTGTTGAGGAAAATATTAAATGATACTTTCGCAGTGACGATTATTCCCAGGCCGTTGCATGTGCTTGATCATATAAAATCCATAAAAAATTTTCTAACACTAGTATCATTAATAAAAGTAGAAACTGTACCCAAAAAAAAACAAAAGAATAAAAGAGAAAGTAAATGAACAGTTCATCAGAACAAAAGAAACAGCTCGACATTTGGTAGAATCTCTAACACACTTTTAAAGAAAAGACACAAACGTAATGGCTTCTCTCTCTCGAGGACAAAACACGACATACATTTCTTCATCTCATTATCTATCACCGACAAGTAATCAAACATCTCTAATCTAATCTGATCAATCATAGAGCTCATAATTAAAAGCTCATATGTCTGATTAAGAAAACAAATCACGTGTTTAATCAATCTATGAACAAAAAAAGTTACTTATTACAGTGTTAAGTGTACTAATTATAGTAACCATTTGAGTAAGGGAATTTACTTATTACATGAACAAAACAAACATTTTGCTTTAGTATCAATTCTTTGACATTTTGCTTGAGTCTTCTCACTTCATAATTAGTTATTAACAAGTTGAGCTAAATTAAATCAAATACTATCAAAATCATGTGAAAATAGTTCTAATTGTTTTGGTAATAATCAAATTAAATAAATAAACATTTCATGCTCTTGGATTCATTAAAAACAGTCTGTCAAGTTGAGGCAGTGCAATGTGCAGTAATGAACAAACAACCAAACAAAAAATAAAAGTTTAAGAACTTAAGATTGCATTTATTGCCTCCACCTTAATTGGCTTTATTTCAATCTTTCTTTTATGTTTCCCATGAAACTCTTAAAGAAAATTTACCCAAAAATTTATAGCTCTTTTCTTCATCTCCTGATCCAAAGTTTTCCCTTCACTTTCCCAATAGATCTGTCTCTGTTTCCATAAAAAATGACACTTTTCAATGAGTCTCTGTTTCTCTAAAGCCAAAAACACATCTTTAATACTCTAAATTTTCTCAAGAAAATGCAGAAGTCTCTCCAAATCCATCTATTTTCCTTCACTTTCCTTCTTCTTCTTCTTCTTCTTCTTCTTCCACTACTCTCTGAGTCTCAGCTAACTTCAAGTGAATCACAAACTCTTCTTGAAATCCAGAAGCAACTACAATATCCACAGGTTCTTCAATCATGGACTGATACGACCAATTTCTGCCACATTCGTCCTTCTCATTCATTCAGAATCATCTGCTTTAATGGTCACGTAACAGAGTTAACTGTCACCGGGAACAGAACCAGTAAGCTCTCTGGAAGTTTTCATAAACTATTCACTCTTCTTACACAACTCTCAAGCTTAAACACTTTGTCTCTTACTTCTCTCGGAATTTCTGGTTCTCTCTCTCCTAAGATCATCACCAAGTTATCACCGTCTCTTGAATCTCTCAATCTAAGCTCTAATTTCATCTCCGGGAAGATCCCAGAAGAGATTGTGTCTTTGAAGAATCTAAGAAGCCTTGTTTTAACAGACAATATGTTCTGGGGGTTTGTCTCTGATGATCTCAGAGGATTGTCGAATCTTCAAGAGCTGGATTTGGGAGGTAATAAACTCGGTCCTAAAGTTCCTTCACTCCCAAGTAACCTCATCACTGTTTCATTGAAGAACAACTCCTTTAGATCCAGGATTCCAGAACAGATCAAGAAGTTGAATAAGCTTCAAATTTTAGACCTTTCTTCCAACGAATTCACCGGGTCGATTCCAGAGTTTCTGTTTTTGCTTCCTTCTCTTCAAATTCTCAGTTTGGATCACAATATGTTAAGCGGGTCACTTCCAAATTCTTCTTGCAGCTCCTCAAAGATTATAACTTTAGATGTTTCTCACAATCTTTTAACCGGAAAGCTTCCTTCTTGCTACTCTTCAAAGAGTTTCAGGAATCAGACAGTGATTTTCTCATTCAACTGCTTGTCTTTGATTGGCACTCCTAACGCGAAGTATCAGCGTCCACTTTCTTTCTGTCAAAACCAAGCAAGCAAAGCAATAGCTGTGGAACCTGTCCCCAAGGTTAAAGAGAAAGATTCTGCAAGAATCAAACTCGGGTTAGTGATTCTGATAATCATCGGGGTGATCATCCTTACAGCAATTTTGATTCTGTTGGTTTTGATTGTCCTGAAAAGAAGAAGATCAAGATCAGAAGATGATCCTTTTGAAGTGAACAACAACAACAACAACAATGAGAGACATGTCTCTGATAAAGTCTCAGTTTGCAGCACCACAACCGCCAGCTCTAAGTCATTACTAGATTCAAGTAAACAATGAATTATCTTATTATTACTTTGAAATCTTGAAACTGAGTCTTTCTCTAGCAAAAACCATTGATAGGATCTTTCTGAATGTAGGACGTGTACCACAGACAATGAGATCTGCAGTGATTGGTTTGCCACCGTACCGCGTTTTCTCCTTGGAGGAACTGGAAGAAGCGACTAACGACTTTGATGCAGCAAGTCTTTTCTGCGAACAGGTAAAAAAATCAAAAACAAGACTTGAGTCTCTAGTGACGAGATTGATTCATATATTTGGTATTCGAACAGCTGTACAAAGGTTGTCTCAGAGAAGGCATACCAGTAACAGTGCGATGTATCAAGCTGAAGCAGAAGAGTTTGCCTCAAAGCTTAGCTCAACAGATGGAAGTTTTATCGAAGCTGAGGCATATGCATTTGGTTAGCGTTCTTGGACACTGCATTGCCAGTAACCAAGACCACAATCAACACGCTGGAAACACCATCTTCATTGTCCAAGAATACATCTCTAGTGGATCATTGCGGGACTTTCTTACAAGTAATAACCTGAAAAAAGACAGAAAATTTATTCAGGTTTCGATAGATTCAAATGCTTATTCATTTTAGGAATTTTTGAAATCAGACTCTAGGAAGAAAGAAGTACTGAAATGGCCTCAGAGAATGGCGATAGCCATAGGAGTCGCTCGAGGGATACAGTTCTTGCACATGGGAGTAGCACCAGGGATCTTTGGGAACAATCTGAAGATAGAGAATATTATGCTTGATGAAACACTCACTGTAAAAATCAGTGGATATACTATTCCTTTACCAACCAAGGTATAAAACTCTTTGACCAATTCAATTAAATTCCTACATCTAAATTTCTTTCTTTCTTCTTTTAATTGATCAATCTAAGAAAATTTCATGGCATTTATAGGTTGGAGAAGAGAAACCTCAAGCCAAACATCCTCGGAGGTTGTTGTTTTATCTCTAAAGATATGATACAATGTTCTCTTCTATCAAATTCTGAAACTTTTTAATCAACTATGTGCAGTAATGAAGATAGAGAGAAAGAAGATGTGTACCAGTTTGGAGTGATACTACTACAGATCATCACAGGCAAAGTAGTGGCTGCAGGATCTTCAGAGATGGGAAGTTTGAAGCTTCAGGTTTGCCTTGTTTCAATCAGAACCTTTTCATCTTTTTCAATCCGACACGGTTTACAAATTTAGAAGCTCTATGTTATTTCCTGCAGCTCGAGAACGGTTTGAGAGATGAACCATCAGTATTGAGCAGCTTAGCAGATCCATCTGTTAACGGGTCATATGCTTATGAGTCGTTGAGGACGACAGTAGAGTTTGCTATCAACTGTCTTTGCGAAGATCAAAGCAAGCGGCCTTCGATAGAAGATGTTGTGTGGAATCTGCAATATACAATTCAAGTGCAGCAAGGATGGAGACCAAGCAGTGGGAACCATGAATCATCCATGAAGGCAATATATGAATGAAATGATCATTAAGAGAGACAGAAGTGTAGAAACAGTGACAAGTGTTAACAAGTCAATATGTAATTTCATGGAGTACTAGACATATCTTCTATTAGCTAAATTAGTAATCTGTTAATAAAGAGAAAGTTGAAATGCATATGATAATTATGAAGATGAATGTGGTCACGAAAATACAGAGAAACATCAAAAGCAACTAATCACAGAGTTCGAAAAACACACAGAAGAGTGGGTGAAACACAAGAGAGTAGGCTTAATGTCTTTTTAAAGACTAATGATACAACAATAATATTATTACTAGTCTGCAGTCCAGAGTCCAGCTTTGCTCGACAACATCGCGGACTTTTCTGTTGTACTTGCGCTTGCTTTCGCTGAACATTCGTGCAGCTTCCGAATTTTGCAGGATTATTCAGATTAGGATGACAGAGCAATGACTGCGATAAGAAAGAAAAAAAGGGATATTGTTTAGCCACTTATGTAATCTGATGAAGAACAACAATTCAAAATGGAGATCAAAGATCTGTCATCTGTGTAAAAATCAGGAGAGGAAGTAGAATAACAACAATCATCAACAAAAATGAGAAATTTGACATTTGAAGCATTTCGATATGACATATCTGTATATATATACCTGAATGGAGGTTAGTATAGCAGGGACATCATAAAAGATGGACTTATTTCTGAAGGCAAACTTCTTTAGGATTTTGTAAGCATTTTATAAACTCGCCAGCTAAAAAAAACAGTGAACTATTCCCTTGTGTTCCACACAACTAAACCCATGCTCTTTTCTGAATTCCTCTATCTCTCATCATTACCCTGATTATCCAGTTTCCTTCTTGATTCTTCGAGTCTGAATGCATATTTGACATCAATACATACTAGTAGCCAATGTTCATGGGTTCAAACTCAATCACCTTTGCAAAAGCTAACTCTGCCATATCCAGATTCTTATAGCTCCCCAAACAGCACCATAGGGTTCAACTAGAATACAATGGGATTTTACTAGATTCTCTACTTCTTGACCAATATTCTGAGCTCCAAGATGGGCACAAGAAGATAGAACACTAACCAATGTAACATGATCATGACAAACACATACACACCAGCTTCCTTCATTCTACTAAACATAAACGCAGCATCAGAGACTTTCTAGTTTACTATGTACCCAGATAGATATCAAAGCGTTGTAACAAAAACCAAGCTGACGTGACTGAGGATTTTCTTCGAACACCTTGCGTGCATCCTCGACCAAACCGCATTTTGCAGTATATTGAGATCAGAGAAGTCAGCTCAAAGGGCTCAGCCTCGCAACCTCTTCTGATATGCGAGCTCTCTCAGACGCACGTTCCATGGCGTCGAAGCCACCGCAGCGTCGGTCATGGGTTTTCCGCCGACGATGACTTATTTGGTTACACGTATACTTCGATCCAATATGGGAGTAAGGCCCATGGCTGGCCCAAATTATTTGCGACGCATAATTCGATCGTAAGGACCATGGGCCTGGCCCATTATTCGAGACTGTTTGATGCATTGCAAAATTGAGGGGATAGACTTATACGTACAAACAAACAGCTTCTTCTTCTTCTTCTCCTCGTGCGGGAAGAAATCGCCGGAGAAACTTCCGACCAACGTATCGGGGTTATACTTAGAGCTGATGAGAACCAGTGTCATCTCGCAAATGCAGCGAAGCTTCTCGATCGAATTGCCTTCACTGGTTCCTCTGCAACTTCCATCTCGGATGTAAGTAGCTCCATTGTTTTGTTATCATAGGAATGCAATAATAAGCTTGAATTTTTAGGGTTCCTTGATGTTTTTATTGGAATGATCCAAATTGGCTTATAGTATTATTTGGTTTATAGTGTTGAAGCTTATCTTCAAAACTACATTTTGTTTTCCATTCATATTCCAATGATTTCGATGGTTTAGGGAGACTCATCTATGGTATGTTGTTCCAGAGGAAGTGAAAAGTAAATCTCTTTTAAAACAATATTCTCAACTTCTGTCACCATCTGAGAATGATAAAGTTCTTCGTATGCGAGGCGATGAGCTTCAGAAGAATGCTTTGCTTGCTCGCACATTGGTTCGCACCACCATTGCAAGATGTATGTTATTTTGTATCTTATACTGCCCATCTAATATCAAACATTATCGAGTTTCCTTCTTAGGTTTTGTTTGCAGAGCATTAACTATAATGTTTATATTTCTAGATCAGACAAACAATGTAGTCGATCCGAGGACCTTGATGTTCAAGAAGAACATGTATGGGAAGCCTGAGGTTAGAGTGAGACTGTTATTTGGGGTTATACTAGACTCATAGTTTCGGCTTATAGAGCGAAATTTCATTTATGACGTGTTTAAATTTCAATTACAGGTAGATTGGCAGAATTATAAGAACTGTAACAACCCACCATTGCATTTCAATATCTCCCACACAGATTCATTAATTGCCTGTGGAGTGACAGTACATGTTCCGGTAAGTCTTCTATTTAGGCAAATACATACAGTTTTTTCAATGTTTCGAATTTGAGCAATTGCAGTTTACTACGACTGTAGGTTGGTATCGATGTTGAAGACAAGGAAAGGAAGATTAAACATGATGTCTTAGCACTTGCAGAAAGATTTTACTCTACTGATGAAGTGAAGTTTTTGTCCACTATACCAGATCCGGAAGTTCAGCGAAAGGAATTTATCAAGTTATGGACTCTTAAGGTAGTTTCTACTAACAACAGATAGAGCCTGAGAATTGTTTCTTCTCAAAAGTTAACTACTGTTGTGATGGTCTTGTTTCCAGGAAGCATATGTGAAAGCATTAGGAAAAGGTTTCTCTGCTGCACCTTTTAATACCTTCACAATCCAGTCCAAGGCTGGAACAACAGGAGGCTACAGTCTTTGCAAGGTTTGTTTTAGACTTTAATCACACTCTGGATTTGAATAGGGTGCTTTTTATCAAATGCCATTAGTTGTTGCATTGTACACTTTATAAAAATTTCCTTGGCAGGGTCTTTTTCATTGCCTACAGAAAAAGGTAGACAGTAGCGATAGAATGTTCAGATGCTTGAATTGTTTTCTCTAGACATCTGAAAGGTCTGTCAATTCACAGGAGAAGACAAAGACATGCAATGGAGAATGGAAGTTTGGCCTATTGGAGTTGGCTGATTCTCATTATGCTGCAATCTGTATTGAAGATGATCAAGCTAGTGGAGGTGCAGTTTCGGTTGACATAGCCTCTTGACACTGAAAAGTCCATTATTTTTAGTGGTTTCTTCATCACGTCTTTTTTTCCTTCTTGCAGGAGCTCCTCTGAGGGTAATTGTTCGGAAAACCATCCCGTTTGTAGAAGATGAACTTATTTCCGAGAATAAATTTCTTTAGGGCAGTGCAGCCTTCAACCTTCAGATTTCTCTAAGCATTTTTTTTTCGATACATCACTCTGCAGTACATTCCATGCAAGCGAAATATCAAATCTATGTTTGTGAGACTCTTGGAAAACCACCAGTAATCCTTGCACGAGCAGAACCCATCATAAGATTCAATATAAAATTGTTATTGAATTGATTGCAGTAATGAAGATGGAGAGAAAGAAAATGTTTACCAGTTTGGAGTGATCTACAAATCATCGCAGGCAAATTAGTGGCTGCAGGATCTTCAGAGATGGGAAGTTTGAAACTTCAGGTCTGTTCTATTTCAGTCAGAACTTTTTAATCTTTATTAATCCAACATGGCTTAGAATTTGAAACCTTTATGCTATTTCTTGAAGCTGGAGAACGGTTTAAGAGATGAACCATATTATTGAGCAGCTTAGCAGATCCATCTGTGATAGAAGATGTTGTATGGAATCTGCAGTAACAATTCAAGTGCAACAAGAATGGAGAACAAGCAATGGGAATCGTCAATCCTCCATGAAGGCAAAATATGGATGAAATGATCATAAAGAGACAAAAAAGTATAGAAATAACAAGTCAATATGTAGTTTCATGGATTACATGACATATCTTCTATTAATTAAGTTTGAATCTTTTGTATAAAATAAATAGCAAAAGAAGAACTGCGAGAATGATCGAATTGAAAATACATATGATAATATTATGAGATGAATGTGGTTACGAAAATACATAGAAACATCAAAAGAAACAAATCACAGAGTTTGAAAAACACACAAAGACATGAAAGAGAGTGGGAGCGACGTGTTGGTGGAATCAAACACAAGAGACGAGGTTTAATGTTATCTGAAAACAAATGCTACAGCAAATATAATTACTAGTCGGCAGTCCAGCTTTGTTCAACAACCTCGCGGACTCTTCTGTTGTACTCGCGCTTGCTTTCACTGAACATTCGTGCAGCTTCCGAATTTGCAGGAGAATTCGGATTAGGATCACAGAGCAATGACTGATAAAAAAAGGGAGATTGTTCAGTCACTAATGTAATCAGATCAAGAACAACACTTCAAAATGGAGATTAAAGATCCGTGTAAAAGCGCAGGAGAGGAAGCAGAATAACAACAATCATCAACGGTTCTACGGAGAAGCATGACGTGAGAAGCAAATTAAGAAAGACATTTCTACCTGAATGGAGGTTAGTATAGCAGCGACATCGTATATTGGACTCCATTGGTTTTGGAGAATGTCCAAGCATATACTCCCATCAGCATAAACTGAACAACATTGACCAAGTACGAGTTTCGTGAATCACATGCACTCAGAGTTAAGGAAAATTGATGCGGTAATCTCTAACTTACTGTTTGGATGGAACATCCGTGAAACAAACCGAACTGTTGGTGGTTTATTTGGATAATCTTCCGAAAACTGCAGCGAGAGTTTGAAAGTACCTGACAAGATCATACAAAAAGAAATATCAGACCAGATATAAACGATTGCCACAAATCTCAAGTTAAGTGATTACAATAACAAAACTTTACCTCCATCCCAAGGGGTATCATCAGGCCTACAAATCCACAAACAAAATGATTTAATAAGTACAGTGCAGGCATAGAATGTCTCTAAAACCCTATCAAGTATCAATTTTTACTTATAGTTCCATTACCCGAATATAACAGCATTCCACAACATGATATTGTTGTCTTGTGGAGCACCACTAATTCCAGCAGGTGGGTCTTGCTGCAACCTCTTGAAATCCCTCATCAATCTCTTCCTCGCTGGAGTCGACATCCTTCTCTTACTCTATCAAAACCCATTAACCAACCATTTCAGAATTTCAAAAACCAACTTTCAATATCTTCTAAATTATGGTTGCAACACTCCAACAATTTCAAAATCTGAAAAGCAATTTCTTTACAAAATTACAAAGCTCTCTTTAACCTACGAAGCTCTTAACATCGGATCAATTCACACAAAAAAACATCCAAAGAATGATAATAACATCTGAAAAGAAACTAAAATCTACAGATCTAGCAACGAATCATCATACAAAAGAGATCTCACTGTTGTGCAAAAAGGCAAAAGATCGGTGGAGGTTTGTCGTCAAGCAAGCATCTCTTGGCCGGAGAATTCAAACGATGATGATGATGATGAGAGAAAAAAGTCTCCGATCAAAAAGCTCGACGATCCTCGAATTCACCGAGCGATGAGAGAAAGAAGAAATGATGTGGAAGTTCGTATAACGCACGCAGTGGTGTGATCTTCTAGAAACTTCGATCTAATCAAAACATATCTTTTATCTCTGTGTACAGTCAGAGACTTCAGATATTATTTGCCTCAGGCCATTCGAGTGGCGCTTAACCGAAATTAAACCGGTTTTAACCAGAATTTAACCAGCAAAAGAGCGATTTTGATTTCATTTCACTGGAAAAAAAAGTTCATTGTTTTGTTGTCGACGACAATGGAGGAGCTTTGATGTGTCTTTGGTTTCGATTTTTGCTTCACGCTAGATGATAAACCTCACGAGACACCGAGTCTTGAATCTCGTCACCGGTGGATCTTCGCTGGATGTGATTTTGTCTCACTCTCCTAACAAGTTCACATTCCCGCCTCTTCTTAAATCATGCGCGAAGCTTGGAGATGTTGTGCAAGGTCGGATTCTGCATGCCCATCTAATCAAAACTGGGTTTTTCGTTGATGTTTTCACGGGGACAGCTCTAGTGAGTATGTATATGAAGGTGAAGCAGGTGACGGATGCTCTTAAGGTGCTCGATGAAATGCCTGAGAGGGGTGTTGCGAGTGTTAATGCAGCGGTTTCGGGGCTTTTGGAGAATGGGTTTTGTAGAGATGCGTTTAGGATGTTTGGGGATGCTAGGGTTTCTGGGTCTGGGATGAATTCGGTTACTGTGGCTAGTGTTTTGGGTGGTTGTGGGGATATTGAAGGAGGGATGCAAATGCATTGTTTGGCGATGAAATCAGGTTTTGAGATGGAAGTTTACGTTGGAACTTCTCTTGTTTCAATGTATTCGAGATGTGGAGAGTGGATTTTGGCTGCGAAAATGTTCGAAAAGGTTCCTCATAAGAGTGTTGTGACCTATAATGCTTTTATCTCCGGATTGATGGAGAATGGAGTTATGTATTTGGTCCCTAGTGTCTTCAATCTCATGAGGAAGTTTTCAAGTGAAGAGCCAAATGATGTTACTTTTGTTAATGCAATAACTGCTTGCGCTAGTCTTTTGAATCTTCAGTATGGTAGGCAACTTCATGGTCTTGTCATGAAAAAAGAGTTTCAGTTTGATACAATGGTTGGTACAGCTCTCATTGATATGTATTCGAAATGTCGATGTTGGAAATCAGCATACAGTGTTTTCACCGAGCTGAAAGATACCAGGAACTTGATATCTTGGAACTCTGTTATCTCTGGGATGATGATTAATGGACAGCATGAGACAGCAGTTGAGCTGTTTGAACAGTTGGATTTCGAGGGGCTTAAGCCTGATTCAGCGACGTGGAATTCGCTGATCAGTGGCTTTTCACAATTAGGGAAAGTAATTGAAGCTTTCAAGTTCTTTGAGAGAATGCTATCAGTAGTTATGGTTCCTAGTTTGAAATGCCTCACTAGCCTTTTGTCGGCTTGTTCAGATATTTGGACTTTGAAGAACGGCAAAGAGATCCATGGGCATGTCATTAAAGCTGCAGCTGAAAGGGATACATTTGTTTTAACGTCTCTCATTGACATGTACATGAAATGTGGGTTCTCATCGTCGGCACGCCGGATCTTTGATCGGTTTGAACCAAAACCCAAGGATCCTGTGTTCTGGAACGTTATGATATCTGGATATGGTAAACATGGAGAGTGTGAATCTGCAATTGAAATCTTTGACCTATTACGAGAGGAGAAAGTAGAACCGAGTTTAGCAACCTTTACTGCTGTTCTATCTGCGTGTAGTCACTGCGGCAATGTCGAGAAGGGATCTCAAATATTTGGGTTGATGCAGGAAGAATATGGATGTAAACCTAGTACAGAGCACATTGGTTGTATGGTTGATCTTTTGGGTCGGTTTGGGAGATTAAGAGAAGCCAAGGAGATAATAGATCAAATGTCCGAACCATCATCGTCGGTTTACTCTTCTTTGCTTGGTTCATGTAGGCAACACCTGGATCCAGTGCTTGGAGAGGAAGCGGCAATGAAGCTAGCAGAGTTAGAGCCAGAGAATCCAGCTCCATTTGTGATCTTGTCCAGCATATATGCTGCGTTAGAAAGATGGGAAGATGTGGAAAGTATCAGGCAGGTAATAGATCAGAAGCAACTGGTGAAACTTCCAGGTCTTAGTTTGTCTGGTTAAGTATATGCTAAGTGGTCCAATGTATGCAAAGGCAGGGATCTCTTTGGGGAGTATTGACATGCTCTTGATTTGGGGCTCGTAAAACAGGTGATTCACCAATTCAGGTTTACATCCGCAGTGTGGAAGACACTAAAGGACCTAAACTAACAAAGAGAAACAGCTCATTGTGCGGGGTATTACACTCGGTTTAATGTCTGAATGAGATAATCCGCACGATGATCTCTTTATCTTTGTTTGTTTAGGTCCCTTAGTTTCTTCTATACCGCGAATGCAATCCTGTGTTGGAAGAATCTACTTGGTTTACGATTCCCGAATCGAGAGCATGCCAATGCTCCCTAAAGAGGTCAGAGTATCAGACCCTTTTTGATCAATATTATATGTAAAGACTAGCCAAGAGGAAGAGTATCTAATTCTTGTATTAGCAAAATTGTAATTGATTGCTCATGAATGAATACAGACAGATTGTCTATTACAAAATATGAGTTATTTCCTACACAACAACACATCACATTTGGTCTAAACGCTACTTCAGTCTCTGCTGCTACTTTTCTTTCCGTTCTGTGTCTTGAACAGCTCTTGGTGACTCATTGATTTGCAAGAACAAAAAGATGATGGGATGGACCGAGTATGCAAGGTTACCTCTAATCATCTACTCCATTCATAGTCTCCTCCATACTTAGGCGATGCATTGTTAGGGCGGTTAGTGTCTTCTGGTTTGATGGAGTTAGCAAATGCACTCCAGCCTATAAGGTGCGGCAAGATGAACTGCAATTCAATGTATAAAGTTAGAACAAAGTCAAAAGCTTTTCACAGAGAGTGTAAGAGAGAGCTTACGTTGAAAGCAGAGATAAGAACAGCAAACTCTGCTTTAGTGATTGGTATGTATACACTCTCATCTACATTCAAGAGTTTGTTTTGAACACCTTCATGAAAAATCAACAGTGAAAATCAGAAGAGCTTGACGAAGATAAAGAAGAAGAAATAAAGCTTTGCTTACTCAGGTTAAAGAAGCGGCCAGAACCATCTGGGAGGGGCTCAACTTTCAACACTTTCCTCACTTTACCTTCATCACTACTACACAAGTAACAACAACACATTGATTACGAATCAGAACTACAGAGAACAACACTATCTGAGTAATGAAATAATCTCATAGAATCCCTAAATCATACCCTTTTCCCTTGAATGGATCATGGAAGAATTCACATGATTCCCTTGGCCCAAGGCTAACTAGATTACCGATTTCTGTAACCGACAACGAAAAGACCTGCATCATTCGACATGAAAATATGATCTTACTACAACCATAATCGGAAGGCTGTTTCTTTCACCGAACCAAATCATGATCACTATCACAATCCATAAAATACTAAGCTAAAGATAAAACCAGTCCTGCAACATTTTACATCAAAACATGATCTTACCACAATCTATAAATACCAAGTTCAAGATCAAAATTAGACATGCAATATTTCACATCAAACATGATCTCACCACAATCATTACAGAAAGTTAAAAGGCTGCTGCTTTCACCAGATAAAGTCATGATTTCTATCACAATCTATGAATTAGTAAGTGAAAGATAAAAACCAAACCTGCTTCCTACTCCAATCGTATTGACGAACACCAGCTGCAGGAGCAAATTGAAGCAACAAAAAACCTTCCTTTGTCAGCTTGAACGCACCAGACTGGATCAAAGCCATCCCAAAAAGAAGAAATGAGATCAACCTAAGATCAAAGAGACAATACAATAGAGCTTTTGATCTTCGACAAAGACACATACTTCCAAAGCCACAAACTCTGGTGCTCGTGGCTCTATCGTAAGAGCAGCTTTCCCTTTGTAAATCGAATGACCCACGTAAAATCTAGGAGAAGATCCTTCGGCTATAAACTCAAACATACAAACAAAAATTCAAACTTTCTGAAATTTAAAAGCTTTCCCATTACTCAAAATTCAAACAATGAGTGAAAACCCTACCGTTTTGCGAAGAAGACGAGTCACCAAACCTCTGCTTCTCAAAGTAATCATCTTGCCGAGACTTCACCGTTAATTTCAACCTCGCCGTCGGTTTTACAGGGATGATTTTCCCGGCGAAATCACCGGAGGTGAGAATTGAGTGAGAAGAGAGAAAACGAGCATCTGTGAACTTATAGTTTATGAAGGGTTTGGAGAAAACCGCCATTGGAGGAGATGATAAGATTAAGAGCTGCGACATCGTTTTTCTTTTCCCTCTCAATGCTTCGTCTTCTCCACTGTGGGATTACGATGGACGAAAAGGGTTTAGGAGAAAAGACTTTATGTCAATTCGTTTTTACCCAATCATATACACAGTTTTACAAATTTGCCCCAATATAACTAACGCTTATAATAGAGGCCTCCAACTTTTGCAAGAAATTATTAAGATGCAAATAAACTTCAAACATTTAGAAAATCTCAACAGTAATCCCTCAAACTAACCCGTTTGCAAGATAGCCCTCAATTTATAACCATTGTCAAAATTAGTTAAACGGTGGTTTTGCCTTTTTTTAGATTTATCTTAGGATTACAATGTTATAATAAGATAGTCGAGACAGGTTCGCCGCACCATACAATTAAGTAAAGTCATGGCTTAGAACATCAAAATAGAAAAGACATATAACCAACGTTTAAAGTTAATTTGTTTTTTTACCAAATCATTCTTAACATTTTACAAATTTGCCCCAATATAACCAATGTTTATAAGAAAGCTCTCCGACTTTTGCAAGACATTATCCAAAGAAGCAAATAAACTTTAAACGTTTAGAAAATTTCAATATTCCATAAAACTAACCGATTTGCAAGATAACCCTCAATTTTTTTACTCATTGTCAAAATTAGATAATTGGTTATTCTTCTATTTCTCGAATCTTAGAATTACAGTGTTCTAATATATTAGTCGAGATTTATCTTATGTAAAAACAGTATTCTTATCATTTGATCCAGTTTTGTTAGTATAAAGTTATTAACAAAAAACAAAACTTAGAAATACACAATCCTAACTAAAATTATGTATTTTTAGATATTATGATAAAAATATAGTATTATATCGCTCAACTATAATTCTAGATGCAACTTCATGAGATACTCTAAGTCTCTAACAGTGGTTTGCGGTCTCACCAACTTCTAAGTCAAGAGTCTGCTAATCTCGAAAACAGCTAAATCTGTTTAAATACAATTTCATGACTTTAAAATGAGTTTTTTTTTTCTGTATCGAATTAGATAATACTCAGAAATTATATAAAAATCCTAATTATGTGTTTTTTTTTAAGAAAAGAATCTAAATTTCTATAAGGTTAGAGGTTTTTTTTTAAATTACATTATAAAAAAAAACTCAACGTGAAAAAAACATTTTCAAGCAACATATAATTAATGAATAATTCTTTGTTCAAGAGTATGTGCGCCATTAATTTGTCTCTTCTCTCGAACATGTCATCGAGTAGCATTTGAGTTTATTGCTTTTGGCTATAATGTCTTGTAATCATTTTCTGTACATATCTTCACTATTTGATCTATCAATTAAACATTCAAACAATATATATATATATATATATATATATATATATATATATATATATATATATATATATGTTTATATATGTTTATATATAATGTAAGATGATATGTATCAACCAAAGAAAATATATTGCATATTATTTTTTTTTTAACTACTCCAGAGTTTCATTTAATCGCGACTAAAACAAGTATTATAGTTAAAAGAAAAACTAATAAATCAAATTACATTTAAATCGATCTTGATCAGTCTAGTCTTATATTCTAATTAAAACAATAAAATTATATGATTCAGTTTTTCAGTTTTTTTTTACCTAAAATCTGATAAAATCATAAAAAGTTAAAAATCAACAACATTTTAATGTACTTTATATATTAGTGTTGACAATGAGTAGATTGGTCAATGTATCAAATTAATGAAGCACAGACTTTCAATGTTGGTTTCTAGCATTATACATGTTTGATTTTTAAAGAAAATTAGATTGATTCGATGAAATATATCTCAAATTCAAATAAAATGTTTTTATGGGAGATGAGTTTTGGTTAATTCGTTTTTACCCGATAATATTAAGAACCTTACAAAATTAACCCAATATTTCTTAGAAAGTTGACCAAAGCTACTTTATTAATGCACGGTTCAAATTTATTCATTACGTTTAGTGCAAGGTCAAAGAGTTTATAACTAAGGTATAAATTACGAAACGACACCGTTCAACAGAAACCGACATTGACCTGACAGTTTCTTACGCCGGCGAGTGAAACTTTTACAGAGCTCGACGAAGAAGACAACTTCCTTTTGTTTCACCTGTGAGTCTGCGACCATGGCTATGCAATCTGGAATTGGGTTATCGAAGATTCTGATTTTAGCTGGAGCAGGTACCTAGGGTTTCTCGATCATGATTTTGGAGTTTTTGAAGATTTATAAAAAAAAACCTTTTTGCTAATTTGTTGTCTTTGAATCTGAAGGTTATACAAGTACGATTCTGGTTAAGAATGGGAAGATGGCAGATATTTTGGGTGAGCTTCAGGTACGATTAGTGAAAGCTTCTGTGTTTGTTCTTATCAATTTTGGATTAGAAGGGAGTAGTAAAAAGTTTGTTCTTTTGACTCCAAATTCGAAGGCTTTGGTTAAGAGATTTGAGAAATCTGGAGATCATGTAGATGATGATTCTGATGCTATGACTACTCAGGTATATTTTGTGTTAATTTGAAAAAGATCAAATTTTTTGGAACAATCATATATAAATGTGTGAGTATTTTGTAGATGCAACGATTAGCAATGGAGGTTCGGCAATTGGCTTCGTCGCGGCAGATTACTGTTATGAATGGAGCTCAGGGAGGTTTGTCTTCCGGCTAGTTTTTGATTTGGTGTTTTTGATGAATGTTTGTTAATCTCTTTAACTTTATCTTCTACATTTTCCAGCTGATTTGACACCGTTTATAGTCCCGGCAGCGACATTGGGAGCTTTAGGCTATGGCTATATGCGCTTCAAGGTATCTTATAGAGTTCAGTAACAGTTATCACTAAAGTCATTTTTGGGATAAATTTTCTCTGAAGCTGATGTTTGTTTTTGTGGTAGGGGATTTCATTCTCTGATATCATGTGCGTAACTAAGCGGAACATGGAAAATGCAGTGTCGAACTTGACAAAGCATTTGGATACCGTTTCAGAAGCTATTTCTGTGGGTGCTTCTTCGATCAATTGTTGCTACTTGTATCAGGCCTTATATAATCCTTAAGGGATTCTAAATGTATATTGCTTATGCTTATGTTGTTGGTTAGAATGCTAAGAAGCACCTGAGCCAGCGGCTTCAGAAGGTGGACGATAAGCTGGACTTGCAGAAGGATCTCTTAAAGGGAGTCCAGGATAATGTATGAATTTGGTATTAAATATTAATAGGTTTTAAGATTTCTTCTTTTGAGGGTGGTACTAACAAGTTTCAGACCTATGGAACAGGTTGGTTTGGCTCTTGAGGATCTTGCTAACATTGGAGATGATTTTGATGCAATGCATAGCATCTTCGGTGGTATGGTGCGTGTACTGTTTTAAAAAAATTTTTTTTATTGTTTCTTCGTTGTCATCTCAAGGAGAAAACATGTCTGACTACCAGAATTATGTGACCACCAATAAGACTTTTTCTCTTTTCCTTACTTATTACTTAACATTAACTTACAACTTAAACTCATGAACAAAGCAAACAGAAAATACAGAGTTTCTACTGGTCGTTATTGCTTACTGATTCCATCTAGTTCCCCAATTTTTCAGGGTGGAAAATTAGATAGCATTGAGTACAAGCAGGTACATACTTCTGTATTTCTGTTCTTGTTATATATTAATGTTTTCAAAGCCATTTGAAGGGATCATTTGCAGCTAATCATGGAGTCAGTGAAGTAAAAGATCAAATTTACTTATTTGTCTTCTTTTGTTGCTTTTTTTTGCTGGGCAGAATATTGCGAATATGGGTTTGATATATCTGTGCGACTCTTTGGGTGGAGAAAATCACAAGATGCCGGATATATTGATGCAGGTATGTATTCTTGTGAATTAGTATTAGTATGTATGTAGTCCCTAGTAATAATCTAGTGGTCTCACCTCTTTAACCTCCTACATCTTCTCCATGGACTTTTATGATAACTTGCTTCATGTGGTGTTGCAGGAGAAGCTTCGGCTTTCAGGGAAGTCAAACACATGTATAGTACTTACAAACGAAGAAACTTCAAGCTCAGAGGTATTTTGGATCAATATATGATATCAAGTTCACTCACAGATAGAATCAGATGCAGTTAAATGGTTTTATTAAACCTCCACTCATCCGATCTGTTTCTTGACTTGTTTCAGGGTTTAAAAGAAAGCGATAAGATAGAGCTACTAGATGACTGCTAATTCAGATGGTACCAATATATCATCACGGTTTGAGGACATAATACTTCTTTCTTTCATGAACAGGGACAAAGCCAAGTCTGTCTAAAACGTTTGTTCCTTATTCTTTTGAAGCAAGAAGGCACGAGTCTGATAGCCTAAGCGAGACAGCATTGATGAGAAGGACCCTGGATTTGGATAGAAAGAAGGTATAGGATTAATAGGAGTGATTATTATGTACTGGTGTTTAGATTAGTGTCCTTTGAGTCAAGTAAGAAGATTGAAAAACAAAAAGAATGTGTTTTTTTCCTTGAATTTTTTCGTATCCAACAAAAAATTGAAACCTATATTTTTTCTAATAATAATAATCCGTACTGCATTATGCACAATTTGTTACAAACACCATCCACAACAAATACAATTCTTTTTGTCTTTTTTTTTTGTTTGTTACCATAAAAACACGGGAACACACGCACGAGCTTTTCTCAGCAGGACTTGCCCGGTTTGCAGCCAAGCGTACCAGCATCCTTGGTAAGTCTTCTGACCTTTGTTCCTGGCTGTGGCCGGATTGCAAACTTTCTAGGGATTGGATTTTTCGGGGTAGCACTCCATGCGTTCGCCTTTCCCGATTGCACAAAGTAAGCTCCGTTCAAGAAATAATCTTTCTCTGATTGCCAGTTCCATGATTTCCATTCAGGATAAGGTGTGTACTCTCTCTTTGTAACCTGCATTTCAAATTTTCTCTCAATTGTGTCTCTCAAGTGTAATGTAGTGATTTGTTGATTCGAGAGTTTAAGTAGTTTTTACCTGCTTGGAATCTTCAATAGGAGGAGCAATGAAACGATTGCCTTGACTTATAATGGTAGGGTTCATGTTTCCACCAATTGCATACATTTCCCAGTGAGTGTAGTCATTGTTCACAACATGGACCAAACCATATCTGACCCTTGGCATTCTTTGCTTCAATCTCTTACCGAAATGGTTAAACGCAACCGTTATCTGCATTTTCTTGTCGATCACATCCTTGTTTGTACCCCCAAACAGCATCACCTGCAGTAATTAAGGGAGACCTTAGGCTTCATTGTTTTTGCATTCGAAGTTTGCATCTAGTGTGTATTGTTTTTCAAGTGAATACACAACCATGAACATCTTAAGCAAAAGCTCTTTGCTAATTGTAACCGCCAATACAATTTGGTGAAAAGCAATATTGGTTGGGTTTTATACTTTTATTCCAATGCCTAATTTATATGTTGCCTTATTTACCTCGTCGTGGTCGGTAAAATGTGAATTGGAGATAGTAATCGCGGTCGATCCCATGATCGCATCAATCATCCCATCAGAACAATCCGTCATTGAGACATGATCAATCCAAACATTTGTTGCTCCAAATATATTAATCCCATCACCATCACTCATTGTCCGATGACCATAATGATGCTCGGAGTCTATAATCATCCCACCAACTCCTTTTTTAATGAGTTTGATATGAACATTATGTATTATCACATTCCTCACGAACTGCAACGTTAACCCTGCACCCCCAGTTATATAAATTCTCGCTCCCCGACCGTCGATTGTTTTATCATTCGTTATGATCAGTTCTTGTTGCAGTTTTATGATCATGCTTCTTGCGAACACGATCCAGAGTGGTCGGTCTCTTGTCACGGCGTGTCTTATAGTTCCCGGTTTTGGGTTCACTAGATCGTTGTCGGATGGGTCAGTGACTACATAGATCGGTCCGTTTTTGCCTCCGGTTGTTTTACGGCCAAATCCAAGGACGCAATCTGCTAGTTTTTTCCGGTTTTTGTCCCAGTTTTTGTCGCCTCGCCAGCATTTATCGATCGCATTAAGGGATTCGAACCTTCCGCCACGTCTAGGTTTTTTCTTACCGCTTCTGACCTGACGGAGATCCCTCCTTGTTTCATTGACTATCCCTGTCGTCTCCATGGCTCTGAGAAATAAAACCAGAAAACATTAGTTACTTCCGGAAGAAGTTAGATATTAATAACAAATCAAAAACCCTAAGTAGGTTAAATTTTAGAGAACCCACAAGGCGGCATGGTAGTTAAAGTGGTCTGTGACGTTATCCGGGTTCGGGTCATAAGCTTCTAAAGTTTGTCGCAATGCGATTGTTTGACGCTGCGTCCAGTAGTCATCATATACGGCGATGTGGGCTTGAACCGATGGAACCACCAAGATGAGAGACAACGAGACAAAGACGAAAACGTAGCTCCCAAGATTCAACATTTGAATCGGCGGTGGTGAGAGATTTTTATTTACAAATATTTATTCCGGTGAAGAATTTATTAGAACCCTTGAAATTTGGGTCGTCCAAAAGTTTTCTGGTCGGCCCAGGGTTAGAAATAGATAATCGGATTCATGGCTTGCTTAAATAACAAGGAACTTGAAAGAGAGAGGGAAAATGAAAGACATTAATGGAGGATTAACGATTAACAGAGTAATTATTAGGTAACCATTGATTTTAAAAACCTCTGTTACTTTTCTTTAAAACCAATTATAGTTTGTCTGGTTTTTATTGTTCTTTCTTTGTTTATCCTTCTTTTGTGGAATATTTTCAGTTATTTTTGTCTTTAAACCTAAATAATACTTTTATTTGGGCTTTCTTATTTATTATTTTTGATTAACTTAGGACTTATTACAAAATGAATTCAGCAAGAAATTATTTCTTACAAAAAAGCAGCAAAATTCAACCGAGATCAAAAGTGTTGCGAAACGACCAACGACCGAATTTTTTTTGTGTCACTACAAAACGAACCAAAAAATGTGTTGCGCACAACGACTATTCGATAATTGCAATTGCTGGTAACAGTCTCCAACAACTGCAAACACAAACATAACCATAATTGACCTGACATGTTCTGTATTCCAGTATCTATCTTTTTTCCCTAAATAAATAGTTTACTGTGAATTTAGCTCTTTTCTTTGATCTTAAATGATAGATTTGTTTTGATCAAAAAAAAAAAATTGATAGATTTGTTTTCGTTCAAAAGGAAAAAATGATATGTCTGCGCATTTGTGGTCTAGTGGTAAGGAAACTTTGGTGAAAGATGTAACTTCCATATCCAAGTTTGATCTTTCCGTTTGATCCGAGTCTGCCCAAAATTCATAATATCCGTTGAATCGTTAAACTGTTAACCTACGAAAATAGTTTATGCTACAACACTTCGGTGCGTTCCTACCGGAACCGAACGGATCAGCTGATAAGATTTATTAAAAAAAACAGACTTTGGGTTGGCCAAAATATAAAAATGTATTATATTATGAAATATTTTTTGGAAAACAGCTTAATACAGCCCAATGGGCCTCCTTAGCCGAATCAATTAATAAGCGATGAGTGAACGACACATGTTACCACCGGAGAGTAACGTACAAATGATAAATACCACGTAAGCGAGGTTGCATTGATTTGATAACACAAACAAAGCCACACGACACCAGAGAGATAGATAAGTATGGACAGTCAGCTTTTGTCGTTTTCGAGCGTTTGTTTACGTGGAATCTCGGTTTCTAGGACCCACCAAATAAGAGGTGAATATTTATTTATTTTATTTTAACAAAAAAAATTTGGCATTAAATTAGCCGAAATATCCTGTGATTTAACTTAAAAATCCTAATCAGCTGAAATTATGAATATTTGGACGATAGAAAAAAATTATGAATTTTTGAATTAAATCAAGATATACTCATTTAAAACACTTGGATTACAAAACGTATTAAGGACACTTATTATCTAATCCAATTTGTGCCTACCCTACATAAACCTTGTACTTATCCTTAAATCCTTTTGGATAATTGTTGAAAATGTAATTTAGTAAAAAAAATAAAATTAAACTAAATTAGGAACAAAATATCTGAATATTTATTTTTAATTTTTAACAACTTGAAGAACAGAGCAACGCGACAAAATCAATCGTCCTCTTCCGAGTTCCGATAGCCACAGAAAACGAAATAACAAAAAAAAAATATCAGACAAGAAGAAAGAAGAACGTTTCTTCTAAAAGAGATTACATCAAATTGACACTAATTGCTCAATTTCGTATCTCTCATTTCATCCTCTTCTTCTTCTTCCTCCTTACTTGAGAATCTCTGGTTTTTCTTTCGTTCTACGAAGTTTCCATGAAAACATTTTCTTGATTCCCGATTTCAAATATCGTAATCTGGGTTTGGTGTTTCGGATTCACTTTGAAGAAAAAGTTTCTCAATTTGGCCTCAAAACCCACATGGGATTGGCACTAAACACTAGACTGACAAGAAGAACAAGAGTAATAGTCATCGAGTGTTTATTACGATTATGTCCTTAACGAAATCTTCAGAAGAAGATTCCTTTAACGGTCGATACACGTTATGGATCAAAGAAGCTTTAGAAGAGCTTCCTCACAATTTCACAATCACCGACCCGTTTATTTCGGGTCACCCGATTGTTTTCGCGAGCTTAGGGTTTTTGAAAATGACTGGGTATTCACTAGAAGAAGTAATCGGAAGAAACGGTAAAGTTTTTCAAGGACCTAAGACTAATCGAAGATCGATCATGGAGATTCGTGAAGCTATTCGTGAAGAGAGATCTGTTATGGTTAGCTTGTTGAATTATCGTAAATCTGGATCTCCGTTTTGGATGTTGTTTCATATGTGTCCTGTTTTTGGGAGAGATGATGGTAAAGTCATCAATTTTGTGGCGGTTCAGGTCCCGATTTCGGGACAAGAACATCATCGGAAGCTCGGAGATATGTCGTCGGATCATTCTGAATTGGTGTTTGGTTCTTGTCGAAGAGAGGTTTGTTTTGGTAGTTTCGTGCATCAGAATCAAGCTTCACCAATGGAATGTGTTGATGAGCAAGGTTTGAGTTTTTAAAAGTAATGTGTATTACTTGTTTGATGAAATTCCTCAGAGAGCTTGCTAAAGCATTGTTGTATCGCAGGATTAGAGGATTGGGAACACTGTGAAGCGAGTGAGTCTGAGAAGCTAAAAGCTGTGGAAGCAATTAACAATGTGTTATCTATTTTAACGCGTTACAGCGAGTTGAGTGGTAGATTAGTCTGCGGAAAGCGGTACTGCTTGCGAGGAGTAGATTGTCTAAGCTCGTCACTAGTTATTTCTCTCGGTAGAATCAAACAAAGTTTCGTATTGTGAGTTCATTATTTTTGATTGTGTAATGGAGTTACAGTTTGCTACGATTGATTTTTTCACTGACATTGTTCTATTAACTTTGCAGAACCAATCCATGCTTACCCGACATGCCTATTATTTACGCTAGTGATGCCTTTTTGACACTGACCGGTGAGTGTGTTTGGGTATAGGTTTGAAAAAATAAGCAACCTTATTAGATTTTTGGTCACGGTTCTTATTTATTTCAATGTTTGTAGGTTACAAGAGACAAGAAGTGTTGGGACAAAACTGCAGATTTCTGAGTGGGGTTGATACCGATTCCTCAGTACTATACGAGGTAATGATTGCGTTATAATAATGGCATGGTGGGTTTGTGAGTGATAATTGTTAATGGTTATTTGGTTCAGATGAAGGAGTGCATCTTAAAGGGACAATCATGCACGGTGCAAATACTAAATTACAGGTTGAAGATTTACTTCTTCAAAACATTTTTGCAAGTGAATCCTTGTTTCTTTGATTTTTTTTGGGCTGATCATTTATGTTTTTATCAGTAACAGAAAAGATAAGAGCTCATTCTGGAATCTTCTTCACATATCACCAGTTCGTAATGCTTCAGGCAAGGTATAATATCCCTTCATGACTTTATACTTCCTGTAACCAAATCCACAATTTCCGCGTGGATACAAAACCCGGACATGACATGTAGAATTGAAAAAGAAGAGTACAATTTCAGTTTTCTGTTGCAAATATAATTGTCCAAAGCAACTGAGTTTCGTGTTGTCCAAGAATGCAAAAAATAAACCAGTTCGAATTGATTATGGTTTCGTTCGATTGTGGATTTTATGACATTGAGAATTCAGTGAACTGATTTCTGCTTTTTTTTTTTTTTTTTTTTTTAGACAGCATATTTTGTGGGTGTTCAGGTGGAAGCAAGTTGTAGAAACACTGAAAGTAAAGAGCTGAGACCAGAGACAAGGCAACTGAGTGTGGTCGGTGCGGTTAGAGTTGCGGTTAGGAGCTCATTGATGGTAACATGCTAATATATGCCCGAAAGAAAATGTCTCTTAGAAAGAAGTAGAAAAGAGTATATGAAGTGAATTGGATATATATACAACTTTACTATGTTGTAGGTATATAATCATTTTACTCGAATAAAGTCTTTATTAAAACTTGGTTCTGCGGAGTCCAAAGTCTATGAATTTTCAAAACAAAAAGATGGTAATGGAGAAAGGAAGTTAGTTCATGTAATTGTTTAGTTTGTAATGGTTTGTGAACTTAAGGATCTGAGCTAGCTAATGGTTTAGTTAGACTATGTACGCTTGTATCTTTGAACGTTTGTCATTTACATAATCCTTCAAATGTTTTAAAAAAACAAATAAAGCGACATCACTTGTATCTTTGAACTGCTCGAGAGAACATATGATCCCCGTATTGAAATGTCAGTCATTAAATGTGGATACTAGATAGTTATCAATAACTAGTTTGTGTCGAGAAAAAGATCTAATTTTGACATGACTACTTCACAAATTCCTAATGAAGTGTTTCAAATTCCGAAAAATCCAAAGTCGTGTCGAAGTTACAAATTCCATATTTTCACTTATAGAAGAATCACGGCATCTTTTATATAAAGTTAATGATTTAAATATATGATTTGTGTTTAAATATCAAATCATACGCACACAAACAAGAACCAACAGGAAGAAAATATATATATAAGTGTTGCAGGTGTACACCTAGTAAAATTTAAAAACAAAGGGATAACTCAATGGTTGTCGACGTGTATTAATATAGGGTTTCCCTACTTCAAGTGTTTACTAGAACATAGAAAATGAGAAATCATATCCACTGTCGTGTATACAAAAACTATTGGATACGGACAACGGATATTGCATTTCCAACAAATAGGCCTAGTAGCAGAATTGTTGTATTGAAAAAGAATCTCACCTTTACTAAGTTTGTAAGTTTGACCAGCCTTATAATATAAATCTCGGCCAAGTAAGCAAGTAATATGAAGCGTGGTGCAGCATTCTTTGCACTTATAGAACCCTTCTTTTCCTCCAATTGTCAACTTTCCCTCACATAATTCACACCAATCTGAGCCACTTGCCTCATCTCCGCGACAAAATGTGAGGTAATGTTCATCATGCTTATACCTTACCATGTATGGTAAGGTGGCGCATTCGTAGCATATAATAAAGTCACATTTAATGCAGTTAAGTACCTTCTTATCTTTCGTTGACTTGCAAATGTGGCACATTGGCTTTTCTTTTGGGTCTAACGATAGGTATAAGGGATGTCGATGACCTTGATAATTAAACGGCTCAGCAGTCGAGGCACACACTACATCTAGTATGTAGTTACAATTCTGGTTGGTACACCCATATCCGAAACCATTACTCTTCCGCATACAAGCACTGCATTTGAATAAATCGTCTCCATGATCAACCTTTTGTTTAAGGGGGTGGGGATGTAATGGATGGACCTTTTTACGTGGAGCATCTGCACATGTTTCGTGTAGGATGAAATCACATTCCACACATACATAAAAATTCCCTTCGTTGATTGGAAGTACACACGCTTGACAAAATTTGTTTCCATCATAAACTACTCCACTCATCTCAAGTTTCATCTGATGGCCATGAGAAAAATGGAGTATTACTCCATCAGCTATCCTCTTGAAAGACTCAACGTCATCTTCTTCTACTTCTTCTGGTACTCCTTCGAGTTCTTTTCCATCCCATATATCCTTACGTAGTGCACATCTTATGTGAACGACATAGCCACTACACTCACTGCAAGTGTATGCACCATAATCACTGTCAACCAATTGACGGCAAACTCCGCAAGACCTTTCTTCAAAAGGAAGGGAAGAACTAAAAGAGACACGATGGTGGTGACGAGATATTCTTATGGTTTGTGGGATATAGATACAATCACTATGGGCTACGAAATCGCATATAGGGCAGACGTAGGTGAGATGAAGTTTATTTACCAAACCACAAATATTGCAGGTTAAGGAAGCTTGTCTAGGGAAAAGGGTGAGGGTATGGTCATGTCTTTTTGGTTGGTCTATAAAAAAAGGTATTTTCGACTGAGCACAAAGGACATGCATATAACTGTCGCAAAGAGCACAAAAATAAATCATGTAAGTTGCTCTTTCTTTACAGTAGATGCAAAGGTCAGATCTATATTTAGAATAGAAGAGTTGGAGAGAATGTTTGGTGTGGGAAGGATAAGTAATTTCAAGTGGACACTCGACGCATTCTTTGTGGAACCTTTTATCACACGTGTCACAGAAATAATAGTCTGTACCGATGGTTTGGATAGAGCAGGAATAGCACTCATCGCCTTCTACTGCTTCTGGATCGACTTCTTTGTTGTTGCACCAAAACAGAGGGAGTACATGATGACCGTCGCTAGTCTCATCAAAGAGAGGGGAAGAATTGTACTTGGAAAGGATTTGATTAGATACCTCATCATCCCTTTCATCATCGAGAGAATTCAATAACATTCGGGTTCGGCGTCTAGGGCATAAGAAAAGAGGTTGAGGAGGGAGATCGTAGACGGATACTTTATCAAAGGAGTTTGGGGTTTGTATTTGTGGTAATGGTTTTATAACGTTGTGGTATTCGAGAAATGGTTTCCCATCGATTTCCACCTTATGAAATTCTCCGAACAAGTCCATGGCTGCTTAATCGGAGATTTTTTTTTTTTTTATGGTTTAGGATATATATTGCTCTTCTCCTTCTTTCCCACTATATACACATGCATACACATAGTAGTCACAGATATGAACTAATTAAGTAGTACGTACTTGGACCGATCAAACTTCGACTGTTTGTTGGCTTGTTACGTTCACGTTTAGTGTGTAGCCTGTCGCCACCAGATTAATCGAAAATGTAAAAGTCAAACAAAAATGTTGCAATTAGTATTGTCAAACAAAAACGAAAATATACTCCAACAATTTGACTTGAAACAATGAAAAGTGATGTTGTACCATTTAAGTTTTTTTATAATATAAAGAAACAATTAAAAGTAGTTGTAGCGTTACCGAAATGGCTGGCCTTTGGTTGGATGATTAAGTTGACTTCTTATCATCAGTCATTGTTAGAAATCCTACGTCGTTGATGAGATCAATTCTTAACATAGAATACAAGGCACATGGATCAGTTTATTGCTTATTGCACATGGATGATTAAGTTCTTTAATAAAATTATGTGTTAGGTTGATTCATCGGACATTATAAAATGATGTAATCGTGATTGTTTATTGAGAGAGGCATATAGCTTCAGTGACAAATAAATAACTTTTGGGCTAACGACGAAAACAAACTAATCACAATGTACAATAATGACAGAAACAAACTAATCATCTTAACGTGGTACGTAAATTAATTATATTAGCCTGATATACAACTAATTATTGTAAGCTGAATTTACAAAATTAAGTACGGCCAAGATTTGTTGATAGACTATAGTTTTTAACTGTTTAAAAAGTCTTTCTGTTTTTAATTTTCTCAATAGTCTTTGTGTGTTATATTATTTCAAGACAAAAAACGATGATGTAAAAAGGACCCGACTCGTGTTAAAAAAAAAAAAAAGGACCCGACTAACTCATCACGTATACCCGGAAATTATACCTAAAATGATTTTTTTTTCTCACATAATCACGAGTTGGAATAATAAAATAACGGTGAAAATCCTATTTTAATTTTGTTCCATATATCGGTTGAAGAAATTTACAGACCTTAGACATTACATATAGTTTGTAATTTAGCAAATTAAAAACGGCAGTGTATATATCAAACAAAAAATGTATTTGATTCATAAGCTCAAATATTTAATTAAAATTAATTAGTTAAACAATTGTGAGAGTAGAAGTGATTTTTACGCATGTGACAATAAAACTACACGATTATTCTTTTCATCACACCATTTTTTTAATATAAATTTTTTTTTTTTTTTTGACGGCTATAATTTTTTTTTTTCATATGCTTTTTTATATATAATATATTGTTTTTTCACGAACGTGGACTTGTCTAGTCACTTTTACTCGTGTATATCAAACAACAAATGTATTTGATTCATAAGCTCGAATATTCAATTAAAATTAATTAGTTAAACGATTGTGAGAGAGGAAGTGACTTTTACGTATGTGTGACAATAAAACTACACGAATATTCTTTTCATCACACCATTTTTTTTAATATAATTTTCTTTTTAATATGTTTTTTTAGATATAATATATTGATTCTTCACGAACGTGGACAACTTGTCTAGTCACTTTTACTCGTAATGGACAACTAATTTACAATATTTCTCGTGGAGAAATTAATGTATGTAAAATTTCGCATTTAAACCTTATAATTTATGGACAAAACATTTATGTGAGATATAAGGAATAATCAAAAGATGAAATAGTTTCATAATTTGTAGGACTTATTTTTGCAAAAACGAAGAATTGAAAAAGATGAGTTGCACATATTTTTATTTTTCCTTTTTGATGGGATTATGTCAAGCAAGTTGGAGCAAAAATAAGTCGAGCATATTTATCGGTAAGAGTCAAAAGACAGAATGTCACGTTCTGTCTATTTCCACTATTACACTATGCACTTAGTTTCATAAAATTAATCTGACAAAATTATATCGTCTTTTAAATTATTTTTAAGGTTTTCTAATTTATGTAGTAGTCTTCTAAAAAGTTTGGTGTTTTAAATGGAGGAGTAAGAAATTTAATTTTCTTATCAATTTAGAAACTGTGCACATCGCTAAGGATCAAATGACGATGCACTTACATGATGCATTTAGTTTCGTATAATTAATTTGACAATAGAGTATGTATATCGTTTTTTAATTATTTTTAAGGTTTTGTAATTTATGTAGTAGTCTTCTAAAAAGTTTGGTGTTTTGAATATAGGAGTGGGAAATTTAATTATCAAATCAATTTAGAAATTGAGTGTGTATTGTATAATAACCAAGAAAAATAAGTCGAACATGTCTATCGCTAAGGATCAAAAGACAACATTTCACGATATCACGCTTTGTCTATTTTTACTATTATACGATTCACTTGGTTTCGTATTATTAATTTGACAAAAATAATATCATTTTAATTGTTTCTACGGTTTTTAATTTATGTCTTTTTCAAAGTTTGGAGTTTTGGATGGATGA